CACCACACCTGGCTATTGGTTTATGATCTTTTAACTTTACCCATCCAGCCATTCCTTTTCTTTTTCATGTGGACTATATCTTCAATAAATTGTATAAGATATTGAGCACATTATTTAAAAATAGGCTCTGTGTTAGGGGATTCTGCTTGATTGTAGGCTAATGTGTTCTGAGCATGTTTAAATTAGGCTAAGCTAAGGTGTAGTCATCAGCAAGTTAGATGTATTAAATGTATTTTTTTTTTGGTACCAGGAATCGAACTCATCACCTTGTGCTTGGCAGGCAGGTGCTTATGCTGCTGAGCTATATCCCCAGCCCTATTAAATGCATTTTGACTTATATTTTCAACATATGATTGATTTGTTGGGACATAGCCCCTTGGGGAGTCTAAAAGCATCTATACATCCAATTTTTGACCCATTTCCCTCCACTCCCGTTTTTGCCTATTACAGTTAAAGCTCCTGAAAAACATTCATGTACATAACTTCAAGTGGACAAATACTTTCATTACTCTTGGGTAAATACCTAAGCATATAATTGCTGGGTCATATAAGTGTATGTTTAACTTTTTAAGAAACTGTAAATTATTTTCTGAAGTAATTGTCCCATTTGCATTCCTGCCAGCTGGATTGCTAGGGCCAGTCTTTTGGATGGCAGCCATTCTGGGCGCACCTGGTGTTTTAACCTGTGGATGTAGCAGAGGGCTTCTTGGACTTCCTGAGCCTCAGTTTTCTCATGTGTAAAATGGGGATGAACATATCAGCTTTGAAAGGTAGTGAAGACAGTGGGCTGGCCCACGTGCAGCATGCTGTACAGGGACCAGGCCACAGTAGGTGTTTTGTAAAAGATGGCTACTTTATCACAATCGAACCCCAGGCACCCCATGAAAGTCCAACTCACCTTTGGGTATTCCCAATTATCTAGTAAAAGGTTGCTTCCCCTGCTTGGTGGGCAGTGCTGGTAGCCAGCAGGAGCAAGAAGAGTGGCACTGACTGTGCCAGGAACTATGCTAAGTGCTTGCACATGTTTAACCACTGCCAACTCTTGTGGGCTGGGTGGTTATTTTTCTTCCATGTTACAGCTGGGAAAAGTAACCCAAGTTGTGGCCAAGGTCACACAGCAGTTAAGTGATAGTGTCGGGATTTGACTCTATGACTGTTTGATTTGGGGTCCAGAATTCTCACTAAGGGAGTAATTGGGTCAAGGCTAGTACAGTGTCCAATCACAAAAGCACCTCCTGATGTTCTGTGTTATCTTTCATTCCTGAGAGGCAGAGTTTGGGACAAGGATTGAGTGTGTGTGATTTAGGAAGATAGCCAAGAGACACCAACAAGAGATACCAACAATCGACATTTCCAGGGGTGGGTATGCTGGCCCCATAAAAAGGACTCAAGAAGTTCTCAGAGGCATCCTCACTTCCTGCATGCCTAATGAACCAAATTCTAGGACATTCTGGAACATTCACTTCCTAGATTTGTTGTAAGGAGTTCACCTACTCACTGCCACCAGTATGTTGAAAAAACTGACCTATGACATAATTGAAGCATGCATCTAGGGCCAGGTATGTAGCTTAGTAGTACAGCACTTGACTACCACTCATGAGACCCTGGGTTCAATTTCCACTGCAAAAAAAAAAAAAGTAAAGTTGCATACAAAGCACACCTTTATTTCTGTCTCCCAGTGTCCTTTTCAAAACATATTCATTCAGTAGAGAAATATATTCCCTGCCAATAAATAACAACTTGTCCCCATTACACTTCTGCTCACTCTCAGCAAACAATTTCATTGCAAACACAATCTCAATTGAGAAATTAGAATGTCCAGTTAAGCTGCTAACTAAAACTCTCAGTTTGGTGGGGTTTAAATCTTCTCCACTTCCCCAGCTGGGGTCTGCCGGGGCAGGCAGCGGGGTGGCCTCCTCTCCTCTGCTTGTCCCCTCCCCGACAGGTGGGGCCCAGGGTCTTGGTGGACAGGAGGACACAGCAAGGGTCTCACTGCCACCAACCTGGCTGCTTCAGACTCTCAGCATTTAAAGCTGCATCTTTATGTTATGGGACAGTACTGTGGACAGAGGTGGCCATCCCCACAGGGCCCTCTCACCCCTGCCTTGGGGGACACACCTCTCCTCCTGAGATCCCTTGCCTCCTTCCTCAGCTCTTAGGAATCCAAACCCTAGCATCTTGCTGCTGCCTCCCTTTCCCACTCCAGGAAACCCCAGAGGACAAGACCCAGGCTGACGGCTTGCAGGTGCTCTCTGCACATAGATGGTCTGTGGGAAACTCTCAAACATCCTTTCCCTGAAAGGCCCGGGGTGCAGGCTGAGCTTGGCACACCCACACTCTGGTTCCTTTACCCATGTGGCCAGGCAGCCCACGTGTCGCAGCTTCTACATGTCCCCGCCTCATCAGATCCTGAAGCCCCACGTAGGAGTCACACACTTGAATTTTCCAAATAGCACTTTCTTTGCATGGGGAAACCCCCACTCTCCCATTCCACCCTTCCTAGGAGAGGTCCACCAAAGAATCCTTGGCTCCTTCTTCCCACCACAGGAAACCTGTGGATAAAAACTGGGGTAAAGCCGGGAGTGGTGGTGCATGCCTGTAATCCCAGCACTCAGGAGGCTGAGGCAGGAGTATTGTTGTGAGTTCTAGGTCAGCCTGGGCTACCTAGTGAGTTCAAGACCAGCCTGAACTGCATATCTCATCTCAAAAAAAAAAAAAAAAAAAAAAGAGGGTAAATCCTGGCACAGCAGGCACACTTGTAATCCCACCTACTCAAGAGGCTGAGTTAGAAGTATTGAAAGTTCAAGGCCAGCCTGGACTACGTGGCAAGAACTTGTCTCAAAAATTTAACAAATCAATAGATAGATATAGACAGATATAGATAGAGATAGAGATAGATAGATGTAAATGTAGCTATAGATACAGTTGGGGCTGTAGTTCAGTGGAAGAGTGCTTGCCTGGCATACTTAAGCCTCTGCATTTAATCCTCACATTGCAAAAGGAGGAGGGAAATAATAAATGTAGGGGTTTGACCACAGCGATATATGTGCACCCATGTCTGTAGCAGCACAATTTGTCATAGCTAAATTGTGGAAACAATCCAGATGTCCATCCACTGAGGAATGGATAAAAAAGATGTGGTATTTTTATACAATGGAGTATTACTCAGCTATTAAGAGAGATAAACTCGAGGCTTTCATAGGTAAATGGATGCAACCAGAGACCATACTCATAAGTGAAATAAATCGGACCCAGATGGGTGAACATCATATTGCCTCCTTGGTGTAGGAACCTGAAAGACTAGGTAAAACTCAAAACGTACAATAGATGATAGGAAAGGGAAAGAAATTGCTCAAAGGAAGGAATGACTGGGATGAGGGAAAGAAGAAAAAAGAAAGAAGGCAGGCAAAATATAAATATATATAGGAATAGCTGCAATGACTGTATTGCTGATGTCTGATGATGTATTGAAATGAACTGTTAATGCTTACAATTTTTTATGTTCTGATCGACTTTACATGCTTGTGTCTGGTGGTCTGAGTAACTGATCTGAAGGTAACAATATGCATATGCAGTGGAATTACAATGGTGAACTCCTACCATCTTGTCTAGTGAAACTGTATTATCTCTACTGTTTTATCGAATAATTATTTTCTTATTCCCTATAATGGTTTGAGCAATCTTTCATTCTTACATCAGGTAATCTGAGCAGTGTAATTGAGGATAGCGATATGTAACGTAACAACTACTGTTGATTCATATTACTTTGTCTTGAGACTCTGTATCACTTTGAATGTTCTTGCTTTGATTTGTTTGATTGTGATACTGGTAGGCTGCTACTGTTCTATTTCTTTCTTTCTTTGTTTCTCATTTACTACTCTCTCTAAAGTAAAACACACACAAAAAAGAAAAGAAATGTAGGGGTTTGGAATGTTCATGACCAAAACAGCAGTTATGAGCTGTGGACTGTATTCTTGGAAAATTATAACTAGTGTCACAGCAGAGCTATCATTAGCAACACTGTACAAGTCGGGTCCACCTCCTTGGCCTAGGTTTTCCTATAAGATGGAGATAACAACATTCACCTGCTGGAGTTGTTGGGTGGTAGTTAGGGACCCAGTGAAGACACAGGCCATGTCTGACACACTAGGTTCCTCATTCACAGACCTGCAGTTTCTTCTGTGTGATCATTTAGAATGGACTTGCCTCTCTGAGTGTTTTCTCATCTTTCTCAGAAGAGCGCCGATTCCATGCATCTCGTGGAGTTTGTCGAGTGAATACTTGTAAAGTGCCAGGCATGTGTTAGGAACTCGGTGCAGACTGGGTGTTACTAATACAACAGAAGGTGGAGTGAGATCTTAGGCTGGTACTGATGGAGCAAAAGGTGTGGGATCTCCACTGCTCCCTGTCCCTCTCTGTTGCAGGCCCTGTTTTGGAAAAGCTTCAGCGGGCTGGGATCCAGCAACCCTGGGAACAAAGAGGACATCCTGTCCTTCCAAGTGGCCGTGATTACTCATGTTGGGAAATCAATGTGTGACCACGAAAACACAGATGGCCTCTTAACGCTTCTGGGAAATCCAACCCCTGGGCGCATCTTCATCTCTGTGTTGAAAGCCTGTTGGCTGTCTTCTAGGTCCTGGTTCTGGGGCTGGTGAGCAAAAGGCTGGCACACTGAGAAACGGGAGTCGCTGGCCCCTTAAGGCACACCAGGCCGGTGGGTCACAAGCTTCACATGACCCTCCGACCTGGGTCGGGCGTCTCCAGTACTTGCCGAGCTTCCCCCAGCCGGGCCAGGATCCAGACCACCGGTTGGGCAATCCATGACCTCAGGCTGGGTCAGGCCCACCAGGTAAGAACAGTTCGAGATGACAGAACATCTTGTTCTTCAGAATCCCAAGAACCGAGTGTGCGGCCTCCTCACCCCCAGTGCAAGCCCAGCCCCACCCTTCCTGCCATGCACTTATTTTGTAACTTTGGGCAAGTTTCTTCGTCTCTCTGAGTCCCAGGTTTCCCTGGCACACTGACTACCAAGGGTCCCCACCTCCCAGGGCTGTCGTGAGATGCAGGTACTGAGAGTCAACACACAGCACCCACATGGGAAGGCGTTCAGTAAGCGGCAATTATTCTTGTGAACAGAGGCACCAGACAGCAGATGAAAAAGAGTGTGTGAGGTCTGGGTTCAACTCCCAGCACCAAGAAAATGAAAAGCAAACACTGTGGGATACGTACTACAGAGGAGAAGAATACCAACCTGGGAGCTGTACTGCTTAGGTTCAAAGCCAGCCTGCCCCACCACCTCCTGTGTGGCTACAGGTAACCTCCCTGAGCCTCGGTTTTATTCTTGTAAAAGGGGAATAATTGTGATAGGACTGTAAGGATTCAGTTAGGCTCAGTGCACTTGGAACAGTGCCTGGCCCATAGTAATCATATAATCACCATGAACCATTTCTTCCTTTCTTTTTTTCTTAGTACATGTTTGCAGCACATAATGATTATATTCATTGTGGGGAGGCGGTACATGGACGAAACGCATCGTAATTCTGTTTACATCACCTTCCCTGCCCTCCATCTCTTGGAGCTCTTCCCATTTGCGAAAGATCTATCTTCCTCTTTCCTATCATTAACCGTTTCTAATCAGCCACACAACTAGGTAATGTTAGCCAGGGTACAGTTAGTAAGAAGTCACACGGATAAGGGGTTTTAAGGGGACCCACAGGGCACTCACATTCAGTGGGCGCCTACTGTGTACCTGATGCTACCAAAGTCACACATCCTTAAACGTATGTGTGTACGTGCACACACACACACGCACACAGGTGAGGTAGCTACTGTCACTTTCATTCTTTTTTGAACCTCTATATTATAAAACAAGACAGATGCAGAAGACCACACAACTTAAATTTGTAGCTTAATGAATTATCTCAAGGTAAATATGCCATCAAGAAACAACACCTCCAGCTCTCTGAGGGCCGCTCCAAACAGCCCCTGCCAGTCGCAGCCCCTCCACCAAATGTGACTATGAACTGACTTCATAGTAACTGTTCCTTTGCATTTCTAGGATGTTGTCATGTGTGTTCATCCTTAGACTTTACCGACTTGTCGGTTCTTTTCTCAGTGCCAGAGATCGAACCCAGGAACTCAGCAAGCTAGGCAAGCATTCCACTACTGAGCTACACCGTCAGCCCCATGCCAAGTATTTTAACTTCTAAAATACTTGGTATGTGTTTTAAGCCCCTTTTAATCTATATATTTCCCCCATGCATTGCTTTTGTTGTAGTTTGTCTGTTGATGAACTTGGGCTGCTTGCCGGTAGTCTCCCACAGTTTGGGTTTTGTCTGTTGCTTCCGGATGGTACAGTGCAGCACGACCCCCCTGGCCTCACCCCTCCTACAAGCTGGCAACTGGATCAGCCTCAGGTTTCATTCTTTTGGCATGCTTGTAGGTAATGCTGGGGTCTTCTCACCAAGCAGATTCCTAGTTGGAGTTTGCTCTTTTTTTGTTGTTGTTAGTGGCCATTGTGCACAAAGGCCAGATATATCAGTTCATTGCAGGTGACAAATGGCTATATTGTATCATTTTGTTTTCATTAATAGTGTAATAAATTTATAGGGAGATGCTTTGCTTACTGTATTATTTGGTAACCCAATGCTATCACGCCTTTAGGAAAACTGGGGTACATATTGGATTCTTTCTTTCTTTTTGTTTGCCTAGTTCTCAGGAATAGATTTTGTTTCCCTGCCATCTTTAGAAGGTGGTCACTGAGTGTTTTCCCTCAACATTATTACAAACTCAGGGATTTAAACGTATGTGATGAGTTTCAGGCAACTGCAATTACTAGCTCTGTTGCAGCTAAAATATTCCCATTTCAGGTTGGTTCCTAAGTCCTTTAAATATGGCCCTAGTAATAGTTTCCTGGTTGTCTGGACTGACAAGATGTTCCAGGTTCATTTGTATATTTTATGCTATGGATGTGGAACCTGCCATTTCATCAAGAAGTCCTTTATTTTTAATTGAAAGTGAAATTTCAAAACTATAATCTGGATGCAAGGCACCCTCACTATCACTGGACTGGTTATCGTTTCCAGGCCTTTTGATGGATAGAAATAGGAAATAGATGATAGATAGATAGATAGATAGATAGATGATCGGTTGATTTGTGTGTGCATAGAGGTATGTGTGTATGCATGCTATGTCAGCTTCTGTGCCTGCAATAAAATATCTGAGAAAATCGACTTAAAGGAGGAAAGACTTATATTGGCTCACGAGTTCAGAGATTTCAGACCCAGTCAGCTGGACCCCCTACTGTAGGCCAGTGGTGAGGCAGCACATCATGGCAGTGTGTAGGAGAGACGGCTGCTCACTTCATAGCAGCCAGGAAACAAAGGGGGGTGCCAAGGACAAGATAATGCTTTTCCAAGGAATGCCCCCACTGGCCAATTTCCTCCAAATAACTCCACCTCCTAAAGTTTGTACCATTTCCCCAAATTCCCCAGTTCATGCCATCAAATCATGGATCCATCAATGGGTCAGTCTACTGTTAAGTCAGAGCCCTACGATCCAATCACCTTCCAACTCTGAACACTGCTGCATTGGGGACCAACCCTTCAACACAGGAGCCTTTGGGGGACCTTCCAGATCCAAACTATAACACGAGCATACACATTTCTTTTTAAAAATATTGGACTCATATTTATATTTCCAATGTAAATAACGCTATGGGATATTTCCTTAACCTCTATGTTACATCTTTTCTTCCCCACTTAGAACCTTTCCTTTTCAAGGATATGAGAGCTGATAAAATGAAAGGATTCTGCCAGATATGGTGGTGCAGGCCTGTAATTCCAGCTCCTTGGGATGCTGAAGCAGGAGGCTTTCTAGTGCAAGGCCAGCCTGTAGCTCATTGCAGCTCAGGGAGTGCTTGAGTTCAACCTCAAGTACTTAAAAAAAAAGGCGGGGGGGGAAGATTCTGTCATTACTGATTGGCTTTAGTCCACTTGATGCATACAACAGTCTCAGAATAACAATAATAAAACTGCTACTGTCAATTATGAATACTGAAAATGGATGTGAGATTTCATGTCATGCCTGTTCTCACCACTTGGGGTACTGTGCTGTAGCTGCATTGGTGGAACATGCAAACATTACATACTTTATTCTCTCTCTCTCTCTCTCTCTCTCTCTCTCTCTCTCTCGGGTCTCACTATGCAGCTCAGGCTCCCCTTGGACTCACTAAGTAGCCCAGGTTGGCCTTGAATTCACAGCAATCCTCCTGCCTGAGCTTCCTGAATGCTGGGATTACAGGCATGTGCCACCACATCTGGCTATTGTCTCTTTTAGTCATTCTTCAATCTTAATTCTGCAAATAAACATACATTCAATACTTACAACTAGTACCAATAAATAAATAAATAACACAATACTTACAACTAGCCCTCTGTCAATGTCTTTCTAGTCATATTTTGTTTGTTTGTTTTTTTCCTGAAGTTCTCAACTAGATTCCTCCTGAAGGCATTATGGAAAAGACATTCCTGGAATGAATAAATTTGATAATAATACTTTACAGCGGGTCAGCTTTGCTAGGTATAACATTCCTGGCTCATATTTTCTTTCTTTGATTATCTCAAATATATTTTACCATTTCCTTCTGACATTAAGCATTGCTGCTCCCTTCCTCTGCTTTTATCTGTCTTTCTCTTTCCTTTACCTCTACTTTCACTGAGTCCCTTCCTGACAGTTTCTCTTCAGCCTAGAGGCTGTCCTGGAAGGAAGACTTGCTAGTCTTTTCAAGAATTCAGAGGAGTTAAACGCCTTTAACCTTTAGGCCATGAGTGTCTAACTGTTTGGCTTGCCTGGGCTACACTGAGTGAAGAGACACTGTCTTGGGCTGCATAAAAATATCATGAAGGTATATGAGTATCAAAATGTCCTTTTAAAAAGATACTTTATTATAACATTAAAATCAAATAACCTAAGTCCAATTTTCATAATTAAATTTTAAAAGTTACATGTCTGCTTAATAACAGTAAGTGCCTATCTTCACAGGCACACATATGTGTACGTAGGTTGAAATACAATCACTGTGTTTTATTCACTGAGTGGAATTCAGTACAGACAATGTCTCATGCACACCAGTTTCCATTGCACTGACTATATGGCAGGTGCAGTAGGTAAAGTTATGACTATATGGTGCCCTTCTCTACATAGTGCTTACTTGTCACCTACATAGTCTATGTTCAAGCACCATACAACTGAGTATCAGTAAGAATCACATAATCATGTTAAAGGTTTATGATCTTGTGGGGCTGCATTACTAGTTACCCAGAGCTACATGTGGCCCACAGGCAGCAGATTGGACACGCCTCCCTTAGGCCTCTGGCGTAAGCCTTGCACTCAGCCCAAACTGGATTTGGCAAATCCCTGCTCAATTTTAGGGAGATTGACCTGTAATTCTCTTTCTTAGTTGGGTCCTTCTCAGGTTTTGGTATCAGGACAATGCTTGCTTCCAGGAATGAACTTGGGAGTACTGCCTCCCTTTCAATTTCAGTAAAGAGTTTGAGAAGTAGTGGTGTTAGGTCTTCTCTAAATTTCTTGTAGAATTTAGCAGTGAATCAGTCAGGGCCTGGGCTTTTCTTTGTTGGTAGGTTTTTAATTGTATCTTCAACTTCATTGATTGATATTGGTTTACTGAGGATTTTTATAACTTCTTGATTCAGCTTTGGTAATTCATATGTATCTAGGAATCTGTCCATTTCTTTTGCATTTTTCATCTTATTAGAATACAAGTTTTCAAAGTAGGTATAGATGATCTTCTGGATTTCTGCAGGGTCCGTTGTGATTTCATTTGCATAGATTTGAATCTTTCCATTTTTTGATAAGGTTGGCTAAGGATTTGTTGATTTTATTTAATCTTTCAAAAAACTAACTCTTCATGCTATTGATTCTTTGTACTGTTTTTTTAGTCTCCAATGCATTAATTTCTGCTCTGATCTTTACAATTTCCTCCCTTTTGGCTTAGCCTGCTATTCTTTCTTTGAAGTTTGAGGTTCAACGTTAAGTTGTTTATTTGTGCTTGCTCTGTTTTCCTGATATGGGTATCCACTGCTATAAATTTCCCCCTTAGGACTGCTTTCATTGTATCCCATAAGTTCCGGTGTGTTGTATTGTCATAATCATTTAATTGTAGAAACTGTCTAATTTTTTCCTTAATTTCATTTGTGACCCGTTGGTTATTCAGGAGGGTGCCATTTAATTTCCAGGTGTTTATGAAGTTCTTGTGGTTTCTTTTGCCATTGATTTCCAAGTTCACTGCACTGTGGCCTGCTCAGGTTTAGCTGCTCTCTCAAATGGCCCCCATGCTTTCCTGTGAATACGTGCTGCAACTTAGGGTTCTTTGCCTCTCAGATCTGTCAGTCTCCTTGCTAGTTCTCTTCTGTTTCTACCGCACAGAGACAGCAATGGCATGCAGGCCTTGCAGCTGCTGAGCTGTCCTTGCTGGCTTGTGTTTGAAGTTCATGGAGTTACTTTGTCACCTACTTTTATTGTAAATGTTGTGGGATTTTCTTTCTGCTTTTACAGGAGATTTGGGAAGGTCCAAATCTATACCAAGGATCGCTGCCTCTCCCCTCTTAGAACTCTTTGACTGTTCCTATTTTCACGGATGGGGAAATGCAGTCCAGGGCTCTGATTTGCGAGCAAGAGAGGCACACATGCGCATAATGCTTCCATGCATGGTAGATGGGGAAGATGCCCCACTTCGGGCTCCTCCCTCCCTGCTTTAGCCGACCAGCGTCCTTGCAAGACTCTGTTGTTGACAATTAAACAGAGAGCTCATCTCCTTGCCAGTAAAAAAGTGTTCAGTAAGTGGCACACGTTAGTGCAGAATTTTATGGTGAAGAAAACAAGGGTTAGGAAGGTATGTAATCGCCCCAAAGTAATACAGCTGGTTAGGGACCAGAGAGGATTTAGACTCAGATCTGTCTGAATAGAAGCTCCAACTTTCTTCTCTACCAGTGGTCCTCAACCAGGGCAGTTTATCCTCCAAGGGATAGTGGGCAGCGCCTGGAGACACATTCGGTGTTCATGACTGTGGATGTGGAGTGCTACTGTCACTGACTGCGTGAAGGCAAGCCATGCCATTAAATGTCCTACAGTGTTCAGGAAAACATCCTCCCCATAATAAAGCCCTGTCCAGACCCAGATGTTAATCAATGCCCAGGTTGAGAAACTATGCCTTACAGCGTGCTGCTGTCCTCAATAAGCCTTATCTTATCAGTACTAACGCTGATCCTAGGAAACTTTCTGAGCTCAGTCACATGCCCTGAAAACACACAGCTCAGGCATTTCTAGCCTTCCCCAGCATACACTTAATAGCAAGTGCTCTCTCTTCAAAGACGGATGAATCTAACAGAGCAGGAGTTTGGAGTGTTCCAGACTGAGACACAGGCAAGCTGTTCTCTTGGGATGGTTCTGCCCAAGAGTAGGTTGATCAGAAGCCATAAACAGGCATTTCCTGATAATGTATCAGAATTCTACACATGCCATTCTACTGAAAGTTCCCAAAGAGCCTCTAAACATGGGACATTTCCTTACCCATTTTACACTTAGGGAAACTATTCTTCTCGAGTTGCTTAAGTCTTACTTCTGAGTGTCCAAGGCAGAAAAAAAGACAGAAATTCAAATCTCTGCACAGTCACTTAGTGGTCATATGATCATGAGTGATTTCTTGTCCTTCTTTTATCTTGTTTCCCAGCCTGTTAAAAAAGTGTGGGGCCAGGGCTGGGGATTTAGCTCAGCAGCACAGCGCCTGCCTGGCAAGTGTGAGGTCAGGTCGTGAGTTCGATTCCCGGTACTGGGAAAAAAAAAAAAGTGTGGGGCCAGAGGGGGAGGGCTTTGCTAAATTTCCAATGACATCTTAACGGTAAAGAAAAATTTGGGACCATGATGTCACAGACTTGAGTTCAAATCCAGCTCTTTCACTGAATATGTTCAGCCCTTAGGCAAGTGACTTCCTTGTTCTGGATTTTGGTGTCCTCTGTTGTAAACGAAACAATCTCCTGGTTTGTTGTTCAAAAGGCTGTTGTAAGCATAATTGAGATCATACAAGCACAGTGCCTGGTGTATACAACTGCTCAAAAAACAGAAACTCTCTTTGTGGGCTGGGGATTTAGCTCAGTGGCAAAAGCACCTGCCTGGCAAGCGCAAGGTCCTGAGTTCGGTTCCCGGTACCAGAGAAAAACCAAAAAAAAAAAAAAAGAAACTCTCTTTGCTGTTGTTTACCTGCCACCCTTCCAACTCTGAGATAACACATTTCTCCAAATGTATCACTCAGAGCCAGAAGAAACAATAACCCTCAAAGCCAAGTTCTTCCTGCTGTCAGCATCTAGGATTGCAATCTGGGCTCTGTGTGTCACCATAGGGCCTGGGTCTAGGTTAAGGAGAAGGTTTTATCCCAATACCTAGTACAGCATAGTTTGGACAAGATCATCCCTTGCCCTTTGCCAAAGGAGCTGCCATTTATTAAACATCTATTGCTGGCCTAGTACATGGAAAGAGTTTCATCTTATGAACCCATTTAATAACCTCTTTGCCCAAGGATCTAGAGACTTTGGGAGTTTGAGTAACTTAGGCCAAAGTCAGACATCTGAGATTAAAATGACCAGATTTGGAGGCTGGGAATATAGCTCAGTGGTAGAGCACTTGCCTAACATATGGGAAGCTCCAGGTTTGACCCCAGTATCACAAAAGCAAGCAAGCAAGAAAGAAAGACAGAAAGAAAAAGAAAGAAATGATTCTGATAGGCTGAATTATGCTCCCCTTCAAATGTCCTCATCCTAAACTCTGGAGTTTGTGAATACCATACTTTACATGGTAAAAGTGATGCTGTACATGTGAGAGAATATCTAGGTGGGCTGATGCAATTTCAAGAGCTCTCACAGGAGACTGACAAGAGGATCAGAGCTATGACAATAGAAGCAAGAGGTTGAAGAGATTTTTATGAGCCAAGGCACGTAAGAGGCTTTTACAAGCTGAAAAAAGCAGAGGAACGAATTCCAAAAGTCCCCAGACAGAATGCAGCCTTGCTAACACTTTGACTATAGACAGGATTCTGACCTGTAGAACTGTAGGAGAATAAAATTTTGTGGTTTCAAGCCCCTAAGTTTTCAGTAATTTGTTACAGCAGCTGCAGGAGACTAATACTTTGATGAAGGAGGAAAGCTTAAATCAGGATGCCCACTTAAATGTGAATTTCAGATAAACAGCCATTTAAAATGTGTATCTTCCAAATTTTGCTTAAGATATGTTTATACTTAAAAAGAAATCATTGTTTACATGAAATTTAAACTGAACTGAGCATCTTATATTTTTTCAGGCAATCTTAGAAATGACATGACATGACACCAGAAGTCAAAACTCACAACTCCCAGCACATCCTCACACTCCTACCTTACACACAGTGTGGGAACTGGCAGAAACTATCACGTTCTTGTGACCCTTCCAGATCACTTGCCAGCTCCCAGGGACTCCCATTTTCCCCAGGTAGAGAGGTCATCCCTGAGGATTTGAAGTCTCCTAAACCACCAGCATCTCTCTAGAAATGGTCCAGTGTCTTTGTCTGAAGGAAGGACCTAGGAAATTTGTCTCAAAGTTGCAGTTGCACAAAATATGAATGCAAGGCACTAAAGCACTGGGTGTGGAGCTAGACTAGGTGTTCGTTTTCTTTCAGACTACCTCTGTCTAGTCGGAACTTCATGAACCCCGAAGCAGGAAACAATTAGTAATTCAGGATTCAGAGTAGCAGTCATGTTAGAGATGAAGAAACCGAGCCCCAGGAGGAATGGAGACCTTCCCAGGTCACTCAGCTAACGCGACTGATATATCCTGGTTGACAGTTTCTCCCTTTGGATCAGCCAGTACTGCTGGCAGCCGTGGTGGTGGAATTCTGGAATACTGATCTTGAGGTGTGAAGCCCTTCACTGCGCTGATTGTCCCTTTCCCTCTCATGAAATAGGGACATTGCACAAATATGAGGATGTAACAATAGGGAAACTCACAAACGTGCGGATTTAATGAGATGACTGATGCGAAACACCAGGTACAGGCAATACATTCTCGGAAAACGGCCGCTTCTACCCTCCGTTTTCTGGGTGTGTTTCCCCATCCATAAGCAGAGCTTGACATGAGATGATGTTCTTTCAAACACCTTTTCTTTCCAGCCAGACCAGGTTCGCAGAGTGCGGAGAATGGTCGCCAGGTGGCGACAGAGCGCTGGCTACGCGGAGAGCTATCACACATGCGCACTCCAAGGCGGGGCCCTGCCTTCCCACGCCCCCCACGTCATTTCCGTCGTGAAGGGCCGGGCCGGCCGGGTGGGGAGTGCGGGTCGTTTCTGCGCGCGCTGCCAGACTAGGCTCCCGCCGCCGGTTGACCCGCGCTCCGCCCCGCAGCCGGGCCGGTGAGTGCCCACGAGCCCGTGCGTGCGCCCTGGGGGCCGAGAAAGGGACCTTGAGAGGGAAGGATCACCGGAAGTGGGGGCCAGAGGAGCGGGAGACCCCAGGAAATGGGGACACCTGGGGAGGGGGCGACGACCGGAAGTAGGGGCCCTGGGAAGGTTGTCAGTGGGATGTGGGGTCTCCGAGGCTCCAGGAGAGGTGGCTTCCTGGCATCTCGTTGTTGCGGGGTGGGGAGGAAGGTGATGTTCCACAGTGTGATGGGCTCCAGGTGGGGAGGATTCCTGTCCACTCCCTGGTGACAAATGACGTTTGCACCCCGTCCATCTGCCCACCCATCAGCTCGTTTACCACACTCTGAGTGAGCTACAGTGCTGCAGGTGGAGGGTAGAGATTGCGAGCCCGGGGTGGGGTTTGACACTTCCTCTCTCTCTGCCTCGCTAGGTTTTTACCCTTGGGCACCTCTTAATCTCTTGTCTTACCCTGTTTACCGAGAGCTGCCGTGTGCCAGGCACTGAGGATGGCAGTAGCTGTGGCAGGCAAGTTCTCTGCCTTCGTGGAATTCACATTCTAGGGGACGTTCCAGTTTCCTCCTCTGTAAAATGGGAACAGTGCTAAGGCACTCACCAAATATTGTGAAGATGAATGAGGGTCTGTGGATGCAGCACAGTGGTAGAGCTTAGCATGTCCAAGGCCCTGGGAAGAGAAAAAAGAAGAAAAAATGATGCGAAGTGCTGAGCGCAGTGCTTGATGCCTGATACGACGCTCAAGTGTGTCTTAGCTGTTTGCATCATTCCTCTGTGGTATAAGCTTCCTGAGACGAATGACTGCTGTGTCCCTAGTGCCCGTGAGCCCGGTGCCTGACACGTATAATTGGCGATCAGTAATTATTTGATAAATAACTGGATGGGGAAGCTGACTCTGAGGAGCTTTATGTAAACACTTGTGACATTGGCCTACAATTTCTAAAAGAGAAATGAGACTCCTCCTAGTGCTGTGGAAAACTGGGAGGAGTCACTGTGGGGAAGTCAGGGAAGGCTGGGAGAAGGTGACAGGTGGGCCTTGAAGGTAACAGATTGTCTGGTTGGCAGCAGACAAGGAGAGGATGTTGCAGGCAGAGGGTATCCTGGGCACACAAGGTGTGCTAAGAATGATGGGTCATTGGCTTGTTTGGGCTGCAGGGAGAGGAGGGAGTGAAGGGTGGAGAGGAGTTTCAGGAAAGCCCTGGCTCACAGTTGCAGGCATCTGTTGGTGCCTGCCATGGAAGCAGCACGGGGTGGGGCCTATGAAGCCAGGATCGTTGTTCCCGATGTAGTGTTCGTTTCTTGCTTACCCTACCTCTACCAAGCACATTAAACTCATTCAACAAATTTTTACGAACTGCAGACTGCCTGATACCAGGTTGGGCACTGAGCGTATGGTGATGAACAAGACCGGAAATCTGCAAACTGCGCACAGGAAATGATAGCAGAGTGGGAGAACTTGTATGCCAGAGAGCTCCTGGGGGTGGGGTCACCTGACACGGTCTGCTTCAAGCCACCACCATCTCTCACCTGGATCACTGTAGTAGCCTCTGCAGCGTCTCTGTGTCCTCACAGTCCTTTTTTTTTTTTTTTTTTTTTTTTTTGGTTTTTTTGAGACAGGGTCTCGCTATGCCATTCAGGCTGGCCTTGAGCTCACTTTGTAGCCCAGGCTGGTCTTGAACTCTCAGTGATCCCCCTGCCTCAGCCTCCCAAGTACTGGGATTACTGGCATGTACTACCACTCCCGGCTTCACAGACCATTCTGAGGGTACACTGATCCCTTTTGAAATATAAATCAGATTGAGTCATTCTATTCAAAACCCTCCAAACTCTCCTCTCACACAGTAAAAGTCAGAGTTCCTGTTGGCCTGCACAGCCCTGACCACCGGCCCCACTACTGGTAATCCTCTGAATTCATCTGCTGGTGTTCCCTCCTTGCTCATTCGGCTGTAGCCATGCTGGCCTCATTTCTGTTGCTCAGAAAGGGCGGGCATGTTCTACATGGGACAGCGTTGCACTTTTTCTGTATGCAGATATGCATGGCTTGCTCCTCCACTTCCTTGTAGCTCAGAAGTCAACTGGGTGAGGCCTTCCCTGGTTACCCTGTTTAAAATTGCAACCCCTATTCTCCTGCACCCAGCCCCATTCTCCCTTTGATTCCCTCCAAAGGCTACCGTTTATGGTGCTTATGGCCCTATCTCACTGTCATCACTAGACCCCTAGCTCCATGAAGGCAGGATTACCTGTTCACTTCTGTATGCTCATTCGGCCTGGCACAGGGCTCAGTATTTGTGGAATGAATGAAATGGCCTCTGATGGGGACTTCAGAGTGAGTCAGTGTGGGTCAGTGAGGAGCCAGAGCGTGCCAGCAGATCAGGGCGAGGATGGGATGAGAACACAACCTTCAGGAGAAAGTGAAAGGAGCTGGGTAAGCTGCTTATACTGGAACGCAAGCGATGGATGCTCTGACCTCAGGTTTGGAGGAAGTGACCAGCTTGGTCACTCGCTGGGTCGGACAGGAGGGAGTCCAGCCAGGTGCAGTCAAGACATCACACGTATGTGCAGGAAGCCCTGAGTCAGTCCCTGCTTTCCTGTGGATGATACCTTTGGCTGAGGAACGGGGCGATTCTGCTGCCGCCACATTCTCAGAATATCTCAGGCGGCTCTTTTGTTTTCATTCAGTAGTGTGTAATTCAGGTTTTCAAGGAAGCAGATAGGCTGATCTAGAGGCTGGACATACAACGCACGAAGTTTATTGGAGGCAGTGCCTGCCGTAGGTAAGGAGGGAGGGAGTAGGAAGTGCCTGCAGACAGAGGTGCAGATCTGGGTGCCATTACCGAGGTTTTGGCTGGAAGTCTCCAAGGGCAGGGCAGACCCGGCCCAGGAAAGTTTTGGTCAGATGAACCGGGAGTCCTCGGACCAAAGCTCCTGTTAGACGAGTCTTTGTTTTCCTTAGCCACTGGCTGGGCGTTGTCTGTGGGAAGCGTGGCATCCTCTGAATGGTGACCCAGAGGGACAGCAGCTCAGGCCATTTGTCAGTTGTGTGTCTCCAGCAATAGATTTGACCAGTGCATTTTCCCAGGGACCACAGGAGATTGCATGAGTATGTGTGAGCTGAGGATATGTACCTGCATGGTGAAGGCTTCTCTAGCACACCCAAGACCCTGGGTCTGATCTCTAACAGCCGAAAAATAAACTCAAAAATTCAAATAGATACAAAAAGTTTGTCATGTTAGACGTTCAGTTGCCCAGCTCTGTTCCTTAGAGGTAACCATTAGTAACAGTTTCTTACATTTACTGTAGAAATTTTGTGTGCATTTATATATATATAAACATGCTTGGTTTCTGTACACTGTTCTGTAGCCTTTTTCCTTAATGTATCAGTTCACAAAGATTGGATACTTTTCATAAATGAATAGTGCCCCACTCCAGTGGTACTAACTAGTCTTTTGATGAGGAGTTAAGATATTTCCAAGCTGAGCATGGCAGTGCTGGGCTGTAATCAAAGTACTCTGAAAGAGGGCCAGGGAGATAGCTCAGTGGCACAGCACCAGCCTGGGAAGTGCAAGGTCCTGAGTTTGATTTGAGGCAGGAGTATCACAAGTTCAAGCTCAGGCTTACTAAGTTGCAACTTAGAGGACTATTGATAGATAGATAGATAGATAGATAGATAGATAGGTGATAGACATAGTTCAGTGCAAAGGCCCTGGGGTCAGTCCCCACCACCCCCACCCACGCATTTCCAGTCACTCATCATCATAATATTTGTAATGGATGTGTCCATATTTTGCATATGTAGAAATGGAACTACTGAGCCATGTGTGGTTTTAAATTTTGGTAGATTTTAACAAACTATCCTTCTGAAAGCTGATGCCCATTTATACTGCCAGCAGTACTTCAGAGTGCCTATTCTTTATTTTTGCCAATCTGAATCTGAGTTGTTTTAATTCACATGTCTTTAATGATGGATGAGAAAGGTCAAACACCTATTGCTACACTTACGGAGAAGATGATATTTGATGGGGGACGTACATATTCAGCCAGAGCTGCGGAGGAATGGAGGATTCAGGGAGGTTCTAAGTACACCATCCGTCTGGGGTTGGACCTGGGGTTATGGTCCCTATCTGGATCATGCCCCTTCAAGAACCCTGAGGTTCCTTGGGTCTGACAGAAACGTTGCTGGCCCCCATATCCTGCCATCTTGGGGTTTGAAAGGTGCGGCGCTAAGCGTTCTTAACTTTATCTGAGGTTTCCATGTCAGCAGGGACCCTGGTAGCTAATGTCAGAGGAAAGTGACTCTCTGCGAACCAGCCCTTCCGTGGCCTCGCTCTCTGAAAATGAGCTGCCGCCACCCGCCGAGCCTCCTGGCTATGTATGCTCACTGACCGAAGACCTGGTCACCAAAGCCCGGGAAGAGCTGCAGGAGAAGCCAGAGTGGCGACTCCGGGATGTGCAGGCCCTCCGTGACATGGTACGCAAGGAGTACCCCAACCTGAGCACGTCCCTCGACGACGCCTTCCTGCTGCGCTTCCTACGCGCCCGCAAGTTTGATTACGACCGGGCCCTGCAGCTGCTGGTCAATTACCACAGCTGCAGGAGAAGCTGGCCTGAAGTCTTCAGCAACCTGAGGCCATCGGCCCTGAAAGATGTCCTCAGCTCCGGCTTCCTCACCGTGCTGCCCCACACGGACCCCAGGGGCTGCCACGTCCTCTGCATCCGCCCAGGTATTTTCCTAGAGTGTATGCCACGTGTACATAGTCTCTCAGGGACATGTCTGTCTCACACCATCTTCTCAGGCCCTTTCTCCCTTCCTTGGATTAGTCAAGCCTTTTTTGGGTGCATGTGACAAAAACCTACTGCATCTTACTCTAAGGAGACAGGAGGATCTCCTAGACCCAGAGAGGTAAAGGGGGAGCAGCTCTTACCAGACCCTAGAACCAAGAGCTAGAGTCCCACCAGGAGCTGAGCCAGCCCTTGCCCTGTCCCCATCTCTGTCTTCTGGGCCACGTGTTCCACTTTTTCCCTGTAGACCGACTTTTGCTTCCTGTGTGCACAAAGCTAAATCTGGTGTCTCTCACCTCTCAGATTAACTTCTACTTAACCTCCCTTGGTGCAGACTCCAGATTTCCAGAGGAGAGAATCCGGTGGGCCGAGGAACCTGCCCCTGGTCACAGGATATAGGCACGGCCCCACTCTCTATGTGGGCCGAGGCTCAAATGTCAATCAGCAAGAGGTGTCGGTCCACGATGGGACTTGCCTAGCATGCAAGAGGCCCTGGGTTTGAGCCCTGCACTGCAGAAAACCAAAAACCGAAATTGTGTTGGCAAGAGTAGAGGCTGGGCAGCGCTTGAAACGGTGGCTATTTCGTTACTGCACCTTCTCCTTCCTGTTCTCTTCTCCTTCCTGTTCTCTGATGTGTTACTTACTTTTTCTCTGCTTTGTTAAACCCTGATAGGATTCACTTTAAACTTTTTCCTTTTTTGCGGTATTGGAGATTGAACCCAGGGCCTTAGACATTCTAGGCAGGCCATCTGCCACAGAGGTACGTCTCTAGCCCTTCAGTGAATTTGCTGATCTTAGCACTTCATGGTAGTAATCAGGATACCTTTCCTTCCCTTCCTCTCCCTTCCCTTCCCACTCGCCCTTGTTTTTTTCTTTCTTTCTTTTGGAAGATTTTCTTTCATGTTGTACAAAAATAACATGAGTCCAACCAAAAGTAAATAAACACATTTCTTTACACCACTAATTACCTATATTAACTCTGTTATTCAGACAGTAGAAAGTAAGTAGCAATTTAGGGCCTGAGAAAGAGATAAAGCCAAAAATACTTTTGTTTTTTTCATTCTTTTGTTTGTTTGTTTCTGGAAATCGAACTTGGCCTCACACTGGCAGGTGCTGTGCCACTGAGCTGCATTCCTGGCCCTGTTATTTTTGGCACAGGTGGGGCAGTGCCCTGCCACCCTCACACAAAGAGCATTTAGAAATGTGTAGCTGGGAGTGGTGGCACACACCTATAATCCCAACACTCTGGGAGGCTGAGGCAGGAAGATTGTAATTTCAAGCCCAGCCTGGGAAACTTAACAACTTAGTGAGACCCAGTTTCAAAATAAAAAGGGCTTGGCATGTAGCTTAGTGCAGAGGCCCTTGGTTCAATCCCTAGTACTGCAAAAAACGTTTTTTTCATCATTTACAAAGAAATGGAGCAATCAAATCGGAGGTGCTAGAACTCTAGCCTGTACTCTCCCTTGCCACCAAATGCATTGTCAGTAGAGGAGTATTCACTCCACCCACAGCTCGCGTTTCCAGCAGCTCAGGGAGACTGGCAGAGGACTGCAGCATTCCTCCAAAGCAGACTGGGAAATGAGAACACACTGGAGCCCTGGTGCAGACAAACGTCTTTTGAAGGGACGTGTGACAGGAGTGACACCTCCAGGCGCTTCCCTCTGCCGATAAGCCCCATGTCCTCTTTCCTTTAGTCATTCCCCTAACTCTCCTTGGAGACTGGGCCGTTACCTTCAGTTTTTATCCCATACCAGACACAGTGTTCATGGCTTTACCTGCTGTTGTAGGCGCTTTGTGAAATTAGGGGTGTTTATTTTAAAGTAAGTAATACAGTGCAGATTCCAGGGCACCAAGAGACCTAGAAACCAGCCAGCAGGCTTTTCTGCTTCTGTGTGCTCAGCTCCTAAGAATATTACAAAATAGATGTTGTCACACACGTTGTACCTCATTGTGGTGTGGTTTCCACCCTTTGCTGTGAGGTGAATTTTTCCCTGAATCTGGAGCAGTCTGCACCCCTCCCTACTGACTCAGCTTCTTAGGAGGAGGCATCTACACACAGTTTTGTTCTCACCTGGGCTTTGGCTTTGCCTTTTCATAAGCTCTTTGGAGATACGTGTGATTGAAAAGGATGACATCTAGTTATATAGAGACAGGTTTAATCCTGCAGAAGTTGCAGATCTGTTGTTATTTCTTAATATGTAAGGAGAGTTTGTGTCTCTCAGATCAGCCGCAGCCTCCAAAGGGTTAATTGGCAGCAACATTAAATGATGCTGCCACCATTTTTGAATAAAGGTGGTTTTTTTGGTGGTATACTGTGGCTGGAATCCAGAGCCTTTGTATTGAGCCAACCTACCTCCCCAACGCTTTTTTATTTGGAAAGGTCCTTAGTTAATCACTGTGTTGTCCAGGATGTCCTCAAAGTGGTCATTCTCCTGCCTCAGCCTCCCAGAATTCAGGGATTATGGACATGTACCACCACATCTAACAGGGACAGAGATTCTCCATAGGAATTTTGCACACATCATATAACCTGTTGATGGTAAACTTACGCAGTTTTGTCTAAGAAAAAGGCTCAGAACTTGGTGAGATTTTCCTGAGGATAGTGGTTCAGTAGTCAAAAATATTCTTTGTATTTCCCAAAGAGAAGAATGATGAAATACATGGGTACTCCTGAAGCATCCCCTGGAAAGGGGAACTGGATGAAGGATCTCCTGGAACACAGAATTACGCTGCACCTCACAATGCGCCCTGAAGGTGGTATAGGAGTTAAAACTTACACTTTGGGTGCCAGGTGACAGGAAGCCAGCTTAGCCCATCTGAGACCGGAAGGAAGAAAAAAAAGGAACTCATTTGCCCAGCTAAATGACATCTGGTTACAGCTAGATTCAAGGGCGCAAATGATAGTGTTGGAAGGTCAGGAGTGTGGCTCAGTGATAGAATGCTTACTGAGCATGAGGAGGCCCTGGCTTTGAATCCCACCACAGAGGGGGAAAATGATGGTGTTGGAAAGCTGCTTCCATCTCTCCTGACCTGAGGCTGCCAGTCAGTCCCCTGTCACTTTACCACCTCTAGAATCTGGGGTCAAGTCAGCTGTAAAATGCTTGGGTCCTCCTGATGGCTCCCCAAGGACAATCAGGGTGGTAGTTACGAAGATCAGAGGAACTATCAGGGGGCCACAATCATAGATGTCCACAAAGGTAGGTGTCATTCTCCTGTTTTACTTATGAGGAGATGGAGGTTCATAGTGAGGAAGCAACTTACCGAAGGTCACACCACCTGTAAGGTTCCGTCCCCCTAGCTTTGTCTGACTTTGGAGCTCAGGCTTTTAATCTTGACACTCAATTGCATTTCCATTTTCCAATGTGCTGCTGGGCGTGGCATTAAGAAACATCAGTTTTGTGTAGGACAGTGACCACAGGAATACCTTTCTTGTCCATCTTGCAACAGCAGTTTTAGAAGATAAATCTTAGTCGAATCTCGTTTGTATTCATTTCTGTAACACCTTGTCCATGTCTTATGACCTTAGACAGATGGATACCGAGCAACTACCCAATTACCGAAAACATCCGAGCCATATACTTGACATTAGAAAAACTCATTCAGTCCGAAGAAACCCAGGTGAATGGAATTGTAATTCTTGCAGACTACAAAGGAGTGAGCTTATCAAAGGCATCTCATTTTGGCCCTTTTATAGCCAAAAAGGTGATTGGCATCCTCCAGGTATGGCCCCTGCTTGCTGCGTGCCTGTTCTGTGGTTGCTTTGGCTTCCCCAGGGCCCTGTTCTACCGCAGGTCTCACGGATTATACAAAGTCCACTTCCCACCCTGCGGTGGGAAATCATCCGCAGTCCTGTTTACCACTGGCTCCTCTGGGTCTCCAGGCATTTTCAGAGAAGGTATCTTCTATCTAGGCAAGACTAGCTTTACAGCAAGAGTACAAAAAAACAGACAAAAGCTTTCTGCACTTTGGTAGGGCGGGGTACAGAAGGCAAAGGAAGAATTCTCCTAAGAAATGAAATTGAGAAATCATTCTTCTGCCTGAGGTACTGAAGCCTCTCCTGCCCTCTGTAGATCCAGGACGTTTTGTTGTGTGGGACTATATTTTGATGAGAGGTTTCATACCTCATGTGTTGCATTTCAGAGCCCAAGTTCTAAGCTGAGAACCACAAAATTCCTTAGTACTTGCACAGCATTTAACAGTTTGCAAAGCAGTGTTACAGTCATTATAATCCATTTGGTCCTTCAAAGATTCCTGGGTTAGGCAAAGCAAGAATCCTTTTTTTTTTTTTGTGGTGGTGCTGGGGATGGAACCCAGGGCCTTGCACATACGAGGCAAGTGTTCTGCCACTGAGCTACATCCCCAGCTCTTTCATTTTTGTTGTTGTAGGCAAGGTTCTCTTAACTTGCCCACTCTGTCCTCAAACTTGTGATCGTTCTGCCTCAGCCTCCCCAGTAGCTGGGATTTATAGGTGTGTGCCACCACACCTAGATCCTTTTCCTTTCTTGAAAGGAAACTGAGAACTAGAGAAGATACAGCCTGGCCAAAGTGGCACAGCTGTAACAGGTTTGGACTCCTTGTTCTTCATCACGCCTCCCCTAGGGCTGCCTCTGAGGAACTGGGTGGCACCAGTGGTAAACAGTGGCCTTCAGTGAGTCCCACGTAAGTGTTTCAGGCGCTGCTGTTTACCAGGCTTATTAAAGAAATCAAGGCCACATCAGACAGTATTATAAATCTGATTCTTGGCTTTGAGCCAGTACTCTGGCTTTCCTTAGCTTTTGCTCTGCTCTTTGTTGTTACCATTTTTAACTTGTGGTGCTAGAGATCAAACTTAGGATCTCACACATGCTAGGTAAGTGCTCTGTCACGGAACTAATCACAGAGCTGTCTCTTTAGCTCTCTACTCTGATTTGATGCCCTTGCTGAATACCATGTGCATCGGTGTGGGACAGACCTTGGATCAGTGTTTTCTTAAAATTCCAGAGTGAAACAAGTCTGGGAAATACAATATGGCCTGTCTCTACCGGGTGAATTTCAGCACAAGCATCTGTGTGTGAAAGGCTGTGTACAGGCCCGCAGTGAAGGAACCTGTTTGTATTCACTATTTCTCAAACTCACCTGCCCTTTTTCACATCACGCGAACACACTCGGCAGTACACTTAGGGCAGCACTGACGCAGAAGGTCTGATACTGCCAGATCCGGCCACATAGACTCAGACTATTACTACAAGAGGAACACATTCCCGCCTGTTTTTCCACTCTTTCTGAGCCAGTCTTGGCTCCCAGAGGAGGTTTCTGAAAGGCTCAGCTTCCTGTCTGGCCCCAAGGGGGGCTGTGTGGAGGAGCCTTGAGAGTCAGGCCAGACTGATGTTGGGGCTGGACGCGAGGGTAAGTGGGGAGGCTGGCCGCAGAAGGGACGGTTTCAGAGACTGCAGATGTTCTAACCCCCCTTTCCCTTCTGCCCACAGGATGGTTTTCCCATTCGGATAAAAGCGGTCCACGTAGTAAATGAACCTCGAATATTTAAAGGCATTTTTGCCATCATAAAACCATTTCTGAAGGAGAAAATAGCAAACAGAGTAAGTGATGATCCTTTTGACTTCAGATGCTTGCGTTTTTTTTCTCCCTTTATTTATTTAGTTGTGACAACTAGTACTTCATTATTTTTTGCCGTGGAACTAATCTGGAAAGTACAGGTAAACATAAATGAACAATCCTTCTTATGAGGGTAAGATGAAATTAGTAAGAATATAATGTTTACCAGTAGAGGGAACAAATAGGGTTTTTACTGTAAGTGCCTCCCTGTTCTGTGATCATTTAGACTTGGTCTCCTGGCTTAGGCACTGTGAAGCAGTGGTATATTTTATGAGTATGAGAACGTGAAAACAGGGAGTGAAAAGGAGTCAGTGGGCAGATTGTTTAAAAGAGTTAATGGAGCTGGGCGTGGTGGCGCACGCCTGTACTCCCAGCCTGTAATCCCAGTACTCAGGAGGCTGAGGCAGAAGGATTGTTTCAAGTTCGAGGCCAGCCTGGGCTACAAAGTGAGCTCAAGGTCAGCATGAACTGCATAGCGAGACCCTGTCTCAAAAAGACAAAAATAAAATAAAATAAAAAGAGTTAATGGACCCTCCCCCCACCCCACCCTCCATGCTGCTGGGATGGAACTCAGAGCCTTACAGATAATCCTCATTTCTTACCATACTAGGGGAACTTGATTTACAAACTCAACTTGTTCCTGAGGCCTGGTTGTAATTCAGGCGGTCAGCTGGAGGCTCAGGCTCCTCTACACGGCCTTCAAAGTCGCTCTCCTGTACACAGGCAGATCTCAGTGTCCTTAGAGAGACACTGGCCCAGGATTTCTCAATGAACCCCTCACAGGAAAGGATATCATAATGTTCCTTCCAGAACTCTTTAAGGGTTAAATCTGCATCTCAGACCATCTGGAAGCACAAGCAGCAGGCATTTGGGTCACAACTCAAGACTTTGGTCATAAGCTAAAACTAAAATTCTGGTCATAACCCAAGCTGTTCATATGTCAGGCTGGTTGTATCTCGAGGGTCCACTGAACACCTTGGGGTTTAAAAATGCTGCTTTGTAAAGGCAGATTTTAAGGCCAAGCAGGAAGATTGTTTGAACCCAGGAGTTTGACACTCTTGGCAACATAGTAAGGCCCTGTCTCAAAAAACAAACATGTACAGAAAGGTGTTTCAAGCTTTTCTGTTTACTTAATGTATTGTCTTACTGTGTAAGTCTGTGGAGCAACTCAAGGCTTATAAGCTGTCTTAATTTTTAGCTGCACTCGTAATCTAGAGGGAAAATGACAAGTTTGAACAACAAGTCTGCTTTTCTGACTCAGAGAGCGCTTTTCTCTATCCCAGGATTGATTGAAATAGGATGAGTGAGTGGCAACTGGGAGACCAGCACAGGATGACCCCGAGTGGGACCAGGCCTGGCATGCTGGGGGACCTGACGGGAGGGTGGCGTGGCAGACCCTGGAACCGGAAGCGGAATGGTCAGAGGAGGAGGCAGGGAAGTAACAGGGCCAGTTTGTGATGGGCCTTGTGGTCCATCATCCAGACTCCGGCTTTGGGGAGATGGTTCTGCTGGAAGGTCGTAAACAGGAGAGTGATGACCTGAGTTGAGGTTATAGAGCAACAAGAGTGGGGGCAAGGAGGCCAGGTAGAGGGCTAATGTGGGACTTCAGGAAGTGATGACAGTGTGGCACAACTAAGGTGGCAGTGAAGTGGCTGGATGCTGAATATATTTGGAAGGTCTAGCCAACAGGGTGTGCCGAAGGAGGAAAAGGGAATTAACGATGCGCCAAGCCTTGGGGACTTGCAGATCTGGAAGGGCAGAGTTTTACTATTAACCCTTCTTCACTCGACACACGTTTGCTGGAGCACCTGTCACCAAAGAGACTGCTATGTTGCTCATTTAACTAAGGACGTGTGTGTCTGTATTTCCTTTCAGTTCTTCCTCCACGGGTCTGACCTGAACTCTCTCCACACAAACCTTCCCAGAAACATTCTCCCCAAGGAGTATGGGGGCACAGCTGGAGAGCTGGACACTGCCACCTGGAATGCGGTGCTCCTGGCCTCCGAGGAGGACTTTGTGAGAGAGTTCTGCCAACCAGTGCCCGCCTGCGACAGCATCCTGGGCCAAGTGCAGCTACCCGAGGGGCCGACTTCTGATGCACAGTGTGACGACTCTATGAGAGCTGTGAAGTCCCAGCTGTACTCTTGCTACTAGCCAGCCCCTGGGGGTGTCACCAGGTTTAAATCCTCTCCTCTTCTCTTTAGAGACTCATAAGAACTTAAGTGCCAAGGCCTCGGTCTTGCTTCTTGTAATGAAATGGTAGCATGGAAGAACGGCCTGAAGAGCTTCGAGGGCCAGCCCATCGTGGGGAGATGTGGAAAATATCCTCAGTGTGATTCTCAAACATTTGCACTTTCCATTTGCAACTATTATGCTATGTCTGGTTCTTACTCACCTCAGAAGCAAGAAAAGTCAGCACCAAAGTTGCTTTGATCCCGCTCTCCTGGAGAAAACCTGATTGCCCAGTCAGCTGCTCCTCCGAAACAGTTTAGCCAGACTTGTAAGGTGGCCAAATACAAGGCTTGGGGAATCTTTGTCTTGCATACAAACCTTAACTGTAATCTCTGTTGCTCATCAGGAATCTTCAAGTCCAAGGTCTGGCCCCATTTGCCATCACTGAGTTTAGGGGGGTACCTTAGCTGATCGTGGAAGCACCAGGACCCAAGCAGCACTCCCTAATCACATCTGGAAGCCGGAGCTTCAGAGCATCCCTGGGTTCACTGGCCAACTCTTGCAACAGAGACTTTTTCCCCAAACCTATAAAGCCTTAGCCCTGGTTCTCAATGGAATCACCCAGGATTCTAGAAGTATCTGATTTTGCTCAATGTAAAGTCAGGGATGCTAGGCCTGTATAGCTAATGGAATTCTGGCCTAGGAATCAGAGACCTGAGCTCCAGATGTGTGTGGACCAAACATGGGCCACTGTGGGCCTCAACTTTCTCATCTGTAAAATGAGGCTGGCAGAAATTCAGTTTTCTGACTAGATAGATGACCACCCTCTACATAAATTGTTTTTGTTTTGATACTGGGAATTGAACTCAGGACCTTGCACTTGCCAGGAAGGCACTTGTGCCACTGAGCTATATCCCCAGCCCTCTACAAACAGCTTGATCCTGGTTTTTTGTGGTACACACAGGGCTTTCTATGAAGAAGTGTCACCATTTATCCCAGCCTTTAAAGGAAGTAGTATGTGAAGCCAGGCATGATGGCACACACCTGTGATCTCAGCACTCAGGAGGTTGAAGTAGGAGGATCACTGTGTTCGAAACCAGCCTGGGCTACACAGTGAGTTCAAGGCCAGCCTAAACTATATAATGAGGCTTTGCCCAAAACACCCCAAAATGAAAAGTGTGGGGGAGGTAGCTCAGTGCAAAGGCCTGGGTTCAATCCCCAGTACCACTACAACCAAAAAAAAACCAAAAAGTATGTGTCTTCTGGAACTCAATGACACCAACTTCCTTTTTCCTTTTTCTAGTGATGGTTAAACTTTAACGAGGATAGCTTTGCCTGTAATCTCAGCCACTAAGGAAGCTGAGGCAGGATGACTGAGAGTTTGAGGCCAGCCTGGAACTGCATGGTGAGACCCTGTCTTTCACAAAAGGACTGTACTGGTCAGGCTTCCAGGTGAGCTGACGTGGACCTTGTATGAATTCCTGCCATCCCTGAGACACTAGTGGTATAATGTAAACCTGGCTATGGTGGTTATAACGTGAGCTTCTTTAATTCATCTTTGGAGATGCACAGAGGGGCAGGTTACTGCTGGGTCACCTGTGGGGCCCCTGCGCTCCCATACCACTGCAGTTTCATCAGCCTGAACATTAGTTCTCTACTTCAGCACTTTAGCCCCTCCCTGTCAAGATTTTAGCCTTAACCCAAGCACCATATTTGGTGGTTCATCTGGTGGCTTTCGGCCTACTTCCTTTCCTCTTCATTCTTGTGATGATGGAGTTAAATAGTGACAAGTACTGCTTGCTGTGCTCATGCCTTCCTTCGCTGTGCATTTAGACTACGCAGGCAAGGAGGGCTGCTCAGTTCGAGAACAATACTCTGGAATTCAAAGCTCATTCTGCTACCTAACTGTTCATCTTTACAGAATTTAAACGATGTCTTGGTACGTTTTTGGTAGAAATTAATTTACTTACCTCATTAATGCTAATTTTAGGGACAGTTCCTTTTACCATAGGTACTAACCCTGGATTCTCTAGGGTCCTGGCTCAGCCGGAAGTGCCAAAACACACACCCCTTGCCGCCCTTAGTTCCACCTGACAACGATGGGACCAGTACTGCTAAAAGGACAGGAGGGGGATGGCTGAAGTAGACGTTCAGAACCCAGCAGCCCAGATGGAAGAACCGGTGAGAGGCTTTTGGGGAGAGCAGAACAAAAAACTAGACAAAAGGAGGGGTCAAGCAGGAAGCCCTACCGTGTTCCTGAGATTTAAATCCTGCATCACATTCCTGGCCAATAGCCTTTGTCTGTGTGATGTAACACAGGGACGGCCAGACATCTATAAAGTATTATCAGAGACCACAAAGGAGCTGGGAACGGTGGGACACACCTTTAATTCCAGCTATCTGGGAGGCCGAGGAGCATCAAAAGCTGGCCAGACCAGTCTTGGCAGCTTAGCAAGGCCCTGTCTCGAAATTTTAAAAAAGGGCTGGGGAGGTAGCTCAGTGATGGTTTCCCTGGGTTCAATCCTCAGTACAGAGGTTAAAAAAAAAAAAAAAAACCAAAAAGGACATTGCCCATTTCTCTGGCCTTTCTGGTTAGACCCAGAAAGAGCAGTTTCTTTCAGCTTCTGAGAGAAGTCAGCCTGGGTTTGTCTTGACTCCAGGAGTTGCTGTGCTTTATTTTAGCTCCACAGAGCGATCAAACAGTCTTGCACCTCAGGAGGTTTGTACCAAGCTGTGAACCAGGACCTCCCTGGTGCAAACCAAGGCAGGGTGCTTGTGTTGACCAACGGGGCTGCAAGGAGCCACGCTTAGTAGTGGAGGAGCCAACAGGTGAACACTGAAAACAGGGGAAGGGTTCCCATCAAGGAAAAGGTGTGTTTCCCAAACACCTGGAAATTAATTTTTCCCTACGTTCATGGTAGTATACTGGGAAGAGAGAGAGCAATAGTACATTAGAGTTGAGTGCCAGCTTTAGCCTCCTCAGCGGCCTTGAATGAGCCCCATCACGCCCCAGAATCTGAATGACAAAAGGGGACCTACACTCTCAACTCTGAACCTTTTGTTACTGGTATCTCATTAGTTCTACTGCTATAGGAACATTGTACTCAAGAGGTTCTCTTTTTCCCCATGTGAATTTAGGAAATTTAGGTCTGCAGGTGGGGAACTAAAGGTTCCAAATCATTGTATGAGCTTAGGTATACAGGGACTTCCTTCCTCCTCTTTTCCCTATTCCCCTACCCAGAATTCTGGAAGAATGTGCCTCTTCCTAGAGACCTTCTATTCTGACTTCACGGGGAGAGGCAAGTCTATCCAACAGCCAGAAATGCAACCCTGGCTTTGCGCCTTGACTTTCCTGTTTGTTTCTGGCTGAGGCGGCTTGGCATTGCTCACACTTCATCCTGCTTTCTAGAGGAACCACTTCACTCAGGCTTGTAAGCACTTCAGGTTACCAGACACAGCTCGTCCAGAAAGAGCTGGGGTGACAGGAAGCGCTTCCCTTGAATTCCCGTGGGCTGTTACCTTGAGTGGGCAGTTCCTGTGAATGTCATCTCACACTCAGATCCGTCATGGGATTACTTTTCCATTTGAGCAGCAAAAGCTGTCCTGTTGTGGCATTATTACCTCATGTAAGTTGTCAACTTTTTAGGTTTTCCTTTAAAACCTTTGTTGAGAGTAAGCTAATGTAAGTGTGGCTGTCCTCGGGCCATGCGAGACAGACTCCAAACATGTGGACTGCTCAGGAAAGACACCAGTCCTGGCAACAGCTCAGTACTGGCAATTGTTACTTTGTAAATCTAAGCTCCTTTCTGCTGTCCTGACTCAGAAACGGTGTGCTCGAAATGAAAGAAACAAACATCAGATATTCTCCTTAACAAGAGCTTCCCCTATGAGAAGGTCCAGTGTGACTTACAGACAGAGATGACAGGGATGCGTTCACTGGTTTGTTAGCTGGTTTTCAAAATCTCACCGGGCAGCACGTTTAGTCAGGCAGGACGTCAGCTGCTTTTGTGGGCTCCCGTGGACATGCCTCCACCGCCTGGCTATCAGGTAGGAACCTGTACGCGTGAAATACTTGAAACTTCTCTGTGGCCACAAGCTTCTGGCACCACTCTGATGGGGTGGGAGCCGGGCTAATTTCCTGACTAGTCTGGGGCACCATTTCAGCCACTGGTCACATTCCTTGCTTCAAACTGAAATTCAGTTTGGCTTTGAGTATAGGGACATGGTGGCGGATTCATCTACTTCAGTATTTGTTTTGACCAAATGTTTATTTTTCTAGTGCATTTTTCTAAGTCAAAGTGGTGAAAATATGTAACTTTAGAATGCATGACTGGGTCTTAATAAAAATCCCTTTAAGGTTGAATACGTGTGGAATTCTTTTGTGACAATGACAATCTGGGTACAGAGTCTGCGGTTTGTTACTGACAGGCAGAGCCTCCCTCCAGGTGAAGCCAGGAGGGCACTGTAGCAGCTGCGGGGCTGGCTGCCTCCAAATACCACATGCACTGAGATTATGCCCAGGCAGCACAAAGGAGAACGGAGTCAGCTACCCTGAGTAGAAGAAATCTGCCGACATTTCCGTTCTGGACTGGCGGCCCAGCGATGCTTCTTGGTACCCGCCTCAAGCCCTCCCATCCCCAGGCGCTCAGCAGGGTGAGCGTGTGTGTTAAGTACATACAGTACACGGTCTCATGTCATCTTCAGGTACCCTTTAGGAAGAGCACTGCTGTCCCCTGTGGGGAAAATGAAGCACAGAAAGGTGAAGTGGCCTGGCCAAGAGCACACAGCTAGTGGAGGAGCAGAGCTGGTGTTCAGTGTGCACCAGGGGGACCTGCTGGTCAGAGCCAGGGGTACGTATCTCTTCCTCCCCAGGCAGGCAACCCGAGAGAACGCGGAAAGAAGGTAGGAATGTTTTACAGAGAATGAGAAAGTTATTTCCTAGAGAAAGGCTTCTTTTCTGGAAATATTATGCAGCAATTCTTTGTATCTGAGACAGTCCAGAAACACTGTAAGGAAGTCCAGACTTCTTGAGGGGCAATGGGTGTGGCTTGCGCAGCTCTGGTACCACGTGCCTAGCTGTCTTTACCCTTCCTTCTGTGTTTGCAGAGACAGCAGCTAGGTCCCCTGGAGGGTCTGGCATGGCGGTGAGGCACACTCCCACACAGGGTGCCGGCTTACTGTTCGCTTCTGATGGTACAACCAGGAAGTCCTCACACAGCAGCACAAGTGGCTCTGTAGGTCAGCCTTTCCTGAGGAGGCTGTGGAGCTTAAGCACGGTCTCTTTCTCTCTTTGAATGGGGGCTAACAACTCCAGTCCTTCTTACCATACAGCAATGCCAGGAGGATCAACAGAAGCCCCTTGGCACGTCTGAATCGGCGTTCTCTCAGTGCCTGTTCATTACATCATGGGTGTGGCACTCCCAGTCAGTGGCAGTGTTACATTTCTGCACTTGAAGCTGGTGAGTAGGGCTGGGGGGATGCAGCTCAGTGGCTCAGTGTGTACTAAGCAAACTCACTGCCTTTAATTCCATCCTTAGCACCAAATAAATAAAGCTAGTGAGTAATAATATCCTTTAGGGTACCACTTAGGGATTTTTACCCCCTAGTACTGGGGCTGGAACTCTGGACCTTTGCACTGAGCTACACTCCCCAGTCCTTTTTTATTGAACGACAGAATCTCACTGAGTCACTAAGTTTCCCAAGTTTGGCTTGAACTTGCAGTCCTCCTGTCTCAGCCTCTTGAGTTCTGGGATTACAGGCATGCACCACCACATCCAGCTTCTTAGCGAAGTTTTTTAACCAATGTTCATGCTTTGCTCTGACTAGATGCCAGCCCCTAGGGACAGAATGACCTAGTAAGATACTAGTGACTTCCTCTGGGTGATAGTATCAACTTTCTTTCAAATGATAAGTAGTTTCATGAGCCAGGTGATTCCCAGTGCATCTCCATGTAGACCCAAAGACAGTAAGGTCTGTGTGAGAAAAGAACTCAAATTAAACCCTAGTTTTGTCTCTACGCTTTGCCTCTTCCTGGGTCATCTTGGACAAGTTATTAACCTCTCTAAGCCTCAGTCTAATCTTTAAAGGGAGAAGCAGGGTAACTACTGCCTTACAGGAATGCAGATACATCCAATCACTGCTGAGCACACACAGCTATGTAGCATCTATTCATTACTCTTCACCTGAGGACACAGGCACTGTGCGGCTTGAGTTGCGCAGCAGTGATCAGGACACCACTAAGGAAGCTGATGGATGTGGGTGCCTAGAAGCAGGATGGGTAGATCACAACAGGAGTACAGCGATGAACAGCAGCTCCTATTAATAAGCATATGCCTGGTATCTGCTACCACCTACATAAATCAAATGCAGAACATTATCTAAATGCTTCAGCTTGATGTATGAAAAGAAAAATACAGTCAAGCAAAGACCTAAAAAGGCTAACCTGCTTTGAATTAGATACAGTCAAGCAAAGACCTAAAAAGGCTATCCTGCTTTGAACTAGATCCGAGCCATGGCTTAATCCAGAACATCAAAAGCAATACTGATAGCCAAGTTCATGGCCGTTCTTCGGCAATATCTTTGCTTATCAAGTTTGATTTCCCAGCTAAGTACATTATATGACCAACTTGGAAAGTAAACCAATCCAACATGGGCCTACCAGCTTTCTCACAGCTGTAAATAAGGCAAGGTGGCACCCACTGCTACGGCCTTTGAGGCATCTCTAGCTGGAACATGCCACTGACCCAGGAGCTGGGGCCCTCTATCGGCAGCCCTAGGGGCAGACAGGCTTGCTCCTACTGAGGAAACACCAAAGTGACTCATGTGGAATGAAATGACACCTTGAGGTCTAATGATTCCAAGTATTCCCCGGCTGTGCAGTATGACCCTGGGCTTACTCAAACGCTGGCATTATTCATGTTTGTGTTATCATTCAACACTCACGTGTGCAGCTCAGCTGAGTCAAAAGTGACCAACTGCGTTTCCTAGTAAGAGACAGAACAACATTCCTAGGAGATGACCAACCCAAGGAGAGACACTCCCCCCCAATTTTTAAAAATAATTTACTTCAAATTAATATCAAAGTTATTATGAGAAAAAAGTAAAAAACTTTATTGGACTTTGTTACATTATTTTACAGGTTAGGATTGCTTTTATTTTGAATTATGTGAAGAAGAGAGGTGGGACACTGGAATTTTTTGAAGTTTAAGATCTGTAGTGCTCTTACTGTAGCTCTCCTGGTGTTAAGGAAAATAGGCAAGATCAAGGGCCAAACGCAACTTTATCTCTGCATTACTTTATCTTGCTTTACACAGGCAAGATCAAGGGCCAAACGCAACTTTATCTCTGCATGTAAACCTGCCATAATCACTGGCGTCAAGAACAGTGGTTCCAACAGTTCACGCCAGGCCCTGCTTCCCTACCTCCTACCTCCACTCCAACTGAGACTGTTCCTCTTCATTCTGTAAGGACACCTCAAGTCCTACCTCCATCCACTTCTGAACATTACTGACCTCTGAGTATCATCCAGCCTCATATTAACCCACCCTGACATTAGCAACTACTGTCCAGTGCTTAAAGTGAGTTAAGCATTCTGCAGAATAGCTGTGTTCTTTGATCAACCGATATATGAGGTACTAATACTGAGGCAAAGAGACATAGAGCCATTTGCCCAAGATCACAAAGCATAGTTCAGTATTAGCTAACCAGTTTAATTTTTTTTTTTTTTTTTGTACCAGGAATCAAACTCAGGACCTTGCGCTTGCCAGGCAGGCGCTTGTGGCGCTGAGCTATATCCCTGGCTAGCCAACCAGTTTAACAGCTAGAAAATAGCAAAGTTGGGATGCAAATCCAAAAGGTCTATTAACCTGTGAGCCTATTAACTGTTTCTAAGGGACCACCCTCATCTCTGTAACACAACCCAGGCTTCTTCCTGCTTCCCTCTAAGTAAGGGGAACTATCATTTACCTGGGTGACTAAACCAGAATCACCAAAGAAATCAACCTCTCCCCGTACCTAATTAATTGCCAGTGTAAAAACTCTAATTACCAAGTTGCTCTCAGCTATTCTACCACTCCCATTTAAAATTTCATGGACAACCCCAGTATCATCTCTCTAAATCCAACCACTTCTTAGCAGCCTGTGACTAAAGACATTATCTGCTTGTGTCACTCTGAGCACTCCTGCTACCCTCAACCTAAGGTCTAAGCTCTCATGGGGGTTTACAAAGCCCTCACCACTCAGTCCCCGCACACTTCCCCTATCCCAGTTTGATGGGACTTTTTCTTTCCCATCTCCTTGACGTTAGCATGTTATTCTGGCCACCCTTCAGCAATGTCTTCTCACTCTCCCACTTCTCTCTCAGCTGACTCCTTCAACAGTTCCTGATTTATTTAGACAGTACTTTTGCCAGGAAGTCCACTTATGACACCCTCTATCCAGGCAGTTCACTTGATTTTTTTTTTTTTTTTTTGGTTTTTCTCCGGTACCGGGAACCGAACTCACGACCTTGCGCTTGCCAGGCAGGCGCTTCTGCCGCTGAGCTAAATCCCCAGCCCCCCCAGGCAGTTCACTTGAGTTCTCTGCAGTTTTGATACCACAGCACTAATTTACCAGATTATAAACACCCAACAGCTTGTTTTCACTCCCCTCTAAACCTAAGTCCAAGTGAAAGAGCTCTGCATACCATGTCTATCATGAGGTGTCTATCTGTACCTCAGAACCTATAGGGCCTGGCATGGAAAAGTCAGTGAATCATTGAAATAACTGTTTTTATTCTACCTCCTTTACTTATTTCTTTTTGTTTTTGTGAGACAGGGTCTCGCTATGTAATCCAGGATGGCCTTGAACTCACTGCATATCCCAGGCTGGCCTTGAACTTGCCTCCCAAGTGCTGGGGTTACAGGTGTGCACAACTGCACCTACTTTTCCTACTTCCTTATATGCTGCCTCTCGGGAAATGTTTGTCAGTGCCTTAACTGTATTTCACCTACCAAAGCCTTACTTTGAGAAGATGTTTAGGATGCGTTTTTAATGACTCACTAGTCAGGTCATAAGTTTTAGAAGGAGATAACTGTTTAGGCTAGATACCAAATAAACTTGTGATTGACCAAAAATAATGGATGGCTGCTAGCTCAAAAAGCTGTTAAAGAAAGGGTCTTAAAAACTTAGTATCTATTTTAATCAAATACCTTTAGTGCAAATATAAATTTACATGCACTTTACTTTTACATACTCACAACAAGAAGATTACATATACACTGCAGTGTTTTCCAAACTCAATCTTCATTTTAATCAAACCTACAAAGCATTTATTGAAATTAACATATCTGGCAAAGCCACAGACTTGTATCAAGCAGCATTAATGCTGTAATATTAAAAAAGTAAATAAAGAAACTCAAGATGTAGAAGCAGTAGCCTTATCAGCAACCACTCTTCTGAGGAAGGACTCAGCTACACAATCCTTGCCCAAGAACTACAATGCTACACCTCTGAAGAGTTAACTCCCTGCACAGTATGCTTGCATCACACAGTAAAGACCTTCACGAGGAAAATGTCATATAAATGCATTGTTTTTTGCTTTTTAAGGAAACTTCAATAGAAATATATTAACCATAGTTTCAAATATTCAACATTTTTCTTCCAGCATTTTAAATCAAAGCTGTAGGAACCTACAGGTCTTTATAAAGAACTTTCTTCACAGCACAGCTGTAGTTCATTTTAACACATAAAAATGTTCCCTTTGTGCTATAACCTTACAAATAAACATAATATACATAGAAATGAAAAGTTCAGATTCTGCATTAAGCATTATTCAACCTTGCCTTTTGGTGTTAACCTGCATATAGGCAAATTCGCAAAGCATTCACTTAGTAGTTTAGTTCAAGCAAACTTAAAAGGACATGAATTTTCAGCAAAGGTGACCTTTACGAGCTTTAGCGGTGTCCTTGGCAGCCAGAAGTTCAGCTGAAGTCCCGATTGGTGAGGACAAGTGGAGCAATGAGGGTCCAGACATAGAGGAGGAGGCACACCCAGCTGGAACTGATCTTGACCCACACAGCTGGACTCGTACTGGACTCCTTGGTCTGGAACGTGGCATCGGGGCTAGAAAATGAGAGCACCAAATAAAGGAAGATTGCCAGCCACGCTGCCACGCACCTGTAATCGCAGCATTGGCAGGCTGAGACAGGAGGAGCACCGTGAGTTCAAGGCCAGCCTGAACTACACAGTGAGACCCTGTCTCAAAAAAACAAAACAAAACAAACAGAAAAAATAAAGGAACTTGGTAGCAGTATCCTGCAGCTCCCACAGACAAGGGCAAGCAACATCCCAGTGAAGACTGGCTTGCACTGCTACGTGCAGAGGTTCTAGTGGGAGACTTAAGGAAGAAGCTGCTCTTTTCAGCTGTTATGATAAAGGACTCTGCTTTCAAAGGGCGTTTTTCTTCAACTGAAGAACAGCTTTTTCCCCAGAGAGGCAAGGTCCTTCACGAATATCTAGCTAACTACTGGGAAAAGTCTAGATTGAAATGGCCTCCCTAATACTCCTTCCTGAGTGCACTGTAACTTTGACCAAAATATCCTGATAATGGCCATCTCTAAGCACAGAGAAACTAGTAAACAAAGATGGGTTAGATTGCTTTAGGGCCTGATTCTCTCTCTGAACAACTCTGGAAGAGCTGTACAGCAAAGAATGGGATTTGTACAGCAAAGAATCCCAACTGGGTTTAATGTTAGAGGAGGCAAAGTCAAAAGAATTTTAGAAAAGAGCACCCAATACAGCTTCCTAACATGAATAAGAGAAGAGATTCTGTGGTCAGGACAATGATTTACAGGCAGTGCAAGGGCTGAGTGGTCTCCACGTGTTTTGTGTGTGCCTCCTACCTATACCAGTTGGTCAGGGTCATCATGAGGTACAAGGAAGCCAAGCCGAACATCAGGTGGCAGAAGGAGTAGCTGTACTGCACTCCTTCTTTTTCGTTGTCCACAGCCCGTCGAGGCTGCCCGTCTTCCTCATCGCCACCTCCACTGGCAGCTGTATCACCAAGAATCACGCTGTCACTCCCGGAGAGGGTCAGCTTCTTTACTTGGCTGTTGCTAGAAGTGCGGATGCTGGAAAGTGATCCCAAAGAAGATAAATCAGAAAGGAGTCATAAAAAACTGCTGCCTTTGGCCTGCACGCAGGAAGGCTATTTCTGAGTGCTCCTATGTTGGGGACCAAAGGCCTCTGAAGGTCCCACTTTAAGTTCTTGACCTGCTGCATTCTTCACACGCATTACCCGCATACTGAGCCTCCATACTGAGCTACATCCCCTGCCCTCAGGCATCCATCTATCCATTCATTAGCACTAGAGACTGAACCAGGGTCTTCACATTTAGCTACATCTTCAGCTTTATTTTTTTTTAATTATACGGCAGGGTCTCACTAAATGCTAAGTTGCCCCAGCTAGATTTGAACTTGTGATCCACCTGCCTCAACCTGCTACAGTGCTGGAATTATAGGCATGTGCAGGAACACTTAGTTTTTTTTTTTTTTTAAGGCAGGTATGTATCCAGGCTGACCCTGAACGCACAAACCTCCTGCCTCCGCCTCCTCATTGCTGGTATTACAGACATGCACCACCTCACTCAGCTCTGCTTCCTCCTATTATAAGACTAACAGTACTCACATGAGTTACTACTCAATGGCTCATTCTCAAAGCATACTATGCACAAAGTATCTGCTACCATTACTGAAGTAATGTGAATAAGTGCCTCTTCTATGCTGGGAATGTGCCAACCTCTTTCCAGCTAACACTTATCTCTGCCACGTCCTCTGGGAAACCTTCCCTAACATCATGCCTCAGTAGGCAAGGTTAGAAGCCTGCTCCCACTTCGCACATCTGCACCAGCGTTCTTCTGCTCCAGCACTGATCATCCTGTCTTCAAAGAACTCCTTAACAATAACTATAGTCAGCTATGCATTTTTAGACACTCCCTATAAACATGAGTTACATGACTGAGTGAAAGAACATATATAAATAAAACGACAAAAACTACATGATCAGAAGAAAAAACACTGACAAAATCCAATACCCTTTGAAGATAAAAATACTCTAAGTAGGAATACAGAACTTTCTCCAACCAATAAAGTACACAGATGAAAAACCCCGAATTAACATTATACTTCATGGTTAAAGAACAAAACCCTTCCCCCTAAGATCAGGAAAAGGGCAAGGATCCCAAAGAAGTAAAATTCTCTCTATTCGCAGATGACTTGTACATAGATAATCCAATGGAGCACACACACATAAACTATTAGAAACAATAAATTAAGTCCGCCAAGACTGCAGAATACAAGATCAACATACAAAAAGCAAGCCAAGAATGGTGGCACATGCCTGTAACCCCCGCAATTGGCAGGCTGAGCAGGAGAACTGCCACAAATTCTACTGGCCAGTCTGGGGTATACAGTGAGATCAAAGACCAACCGAACTACATAGTGAGACCCTGTCTCAAAAAAAAGCAATTGTATTCTATACCTAGAAGTAAACTAAAAGTTTTAAGACAATGATTTCCTTTACAATACCATCAAAAAGGAATAAAATACTTAAGAAGTTTAATATCCATACACTAATAGCTATAAATCTCCAAAAGAAAATAAAGACCTAAATGAGATAGCTCAGTGTCCTGAGCTCAATCCCTAATTCCACAAAAATAAATAAAATAAACTTTTTAAAATTTATAAATCAACTGATTTTTGACAAGGATGTCAGGACAATTTAATGAGAGAAAGACTTTTTTTTCAGCAAATAATGCAGAACAGCTAACTATCCACAGGAAGAAGAAAGTTGGGCCTCCTACCTCAAACCACATATAAAAGCAATAAAAAGACAACCCTTATTTTTTCTTGAGACAGGGTTTTGCTATGTACTTCAGGCTGGCTTGAACTCACTATGTAGCCCAGGCCTTACATGTAGCCCTGGCCTGGAACTTGCAGAGATCCTCCTCACCTTCCCAAGGGCTAGAATTATAGGCGTGTACCACCATGCCTGGAAAAGACAACCCAATTTAAAAACAGGCCATAAATGTAAGTAGACATTTCTTTACGGAAAATATACAAATGACCAATAATTACATGAAAAGATGTCCATCATCATTAGTCGTTAGGGAAATGTAAATCAAACTAATGAACTATATATTTCAGGAGGATGGATTTCACGGTATATCAATTCTATCTCATAACCTGGTGTGGTGACCCACGCCTATAATCCCAGCACTCGGGAGTCTGAGGCAGGGGGATCACCATGAGTTCAAGGCCAGCCTGGGCTACATAGGGGAGTTCAAGGCCAACCTGCAATATACAGTGAGATCTTGGTATCAAAAAAATGAAAAGATAAATAAACTTTAAAAATTGTTAGGTCAAAAGTAAAGCAGTCATAAACAGAGAAACAAATGAGTATACCTCTGTGCTAGTAAAACTTTATTTACAAAATAGGAAGCCAACCCAACAGCTGTAGTTTGCCAATTCCCGTTCTAAGCAATTTTTTTGAGACACAGGGCCTCAGATATGGTGCATAAGTGCCCTACCACTGAGCTACATCCGCAGCAGTAACCCTCACTTTGTTTTTTTTATGTTTTAGTTTTTGAGGCTCTCACTATGTAGTCCAACCTGGCTTCAACTGGTGGTCCTCCTGCCTCAGCCTCTTGAGACTTGGCATTATAGGTGTGTGCCACAATGCTCAGCTCCTTCTGTTTTGAAACTGGGTTTTGCAAAATTGCCCTGATTAGCCTTGAACTTGAGCTCCTTCTGTTTCAGCCTCCAAGTAGCTAGGATTACAGGCACGTATCACTGCACCTGGCCTAAGCAATCTTTTAAAAAATTAAGTCAACTTATATACATAATGTGGAAAGCCATCCAAATTTAACAATAAACTCATATATCAGAAAAATATGTGTATTTATATTGTATGTTCCTAATCTTAAAATTATCTATCAAGTGATATAAAATGATGCATGTACAATTACACATAGAATTATATCCACAGAGATACACATAGAATTAACAAAGGAAAACAATCTAAAATATTATCTACCAAAATGTTACTCATGGGGTGAAATCTGGAGGATACCTTCACCTCCTATTTTATACACATTTTCTCTTATTTCACAAACGTATATAAAATTATCCTTGCCTATTTTGATTATTTCATATTTTTAAATTATTAAAGTAGAGCCACACATGGTGGCACACACTGATAATCTCAGCACTCCGGAAGCTAAAGGAGTAGGACTGCTATGAGTTCCAGGCCAGCCTAAGCAATGTAGTGAATTCAAGGACAGCCTAAACTACATAGTGAGACCCTGTCTCAAAAAGCAAAAAAAAAAAATGAATAAATTATTAAAGTAATATCTGCCATTGTACAGAAAGCACCAATAAAAATGGGAAGATGGGTATTAATGGGTAACATGTTGCATCTGGGGTTTTTGATTAATTAGAAATATACATATATATAATTCTACAATATTTTGTAGTATGTAAATGCTACAGTATGTGTGTATATATATATATTTTTTAATTTTATTTATTGTATCAGAAAATAAAGAGTTTTAAAAATTTTTTCACAGTGCTAGTCATCAAACAGAAGGCTTCAAACATGCCAGGCAAGTTCTTTACCACTAACTTGCACCTCCAACTCCAAGATTTTTTGTCTAAAGAGATAACTCACTCGATTTTGAGAGCCACTCTTCTAGCTTATGTAGGGTCAAGTGAAGATTTTAACCTCCTACACAAAGGAGAAGGCTGAGCCAGGTATGGTGGTGCACACCTATGATTTTGGTGTACTTGCACTCAGGAGGCTGAGGCAGGAGGATAGCCACGAGTTCAAGGCCAGCCTGTACTACACAGTGAGTTCAAGGTCAGCCTGAACCACAAAGTGAGACCCTATCACCAAAAAAAAAAAAAAAAAAAAAACCAACCAAAAAACAGAAGGCATCTCTGTCTGACTGGGAGAAATTATCTGATGAGATGATTTTCTGAACTGTAAGGAAACATAGATAAGTATTATCTATATTAGATATCTGATCTGATAATCAGATAAGTAAAGGACTTTTCATTAAAGACAGCTCAGTTGTTCAATTCCTGACACTGGTTTTGAAAGCAAAATAGCTTCTCTTGACTCCAATAGTAACTTTCACAAGAATTTCATACTAAGTTCCTTTTAACTTACCTGGAATACAGAAGGCAGATAGCAGAGACAATCACTCCCAAAATATTCTCTGCATACAGAAAGCGCCCGTTCTCTATGCGTGGAGCCTCTGAAGGTGGGGCGATGGTGGGGGCCACAGCAGTCGCATTTGCAGGAGCCATGGTTGGTGCAGCTATGTGTGTAATGATGTTCAAGAGGCTGGGGTTGCAGCGACGGTCTGAAAAGGGGAACGTGCGCAGCCTTAGTGATAGCTCACCTACAGCAAGCAAGCAGGATGTGAGGCTGCCTACACACCATTCAGTCCAGATGGATGTGCTATGCTGAAAAAAACCTGAAACTCAGCAGCTGGTAAGATGTTTATGTCACTACCAGTGATTCAGTTTCGAGAACAAAAATAAACATTTTTCTATCAGATTTTACAAATGTCTATTGTGATATTATTGGTTTTATGGTTTAAAGCAGTGATGGCAAACCTAAGGTATGTGTGCCATAGTGGGCTATTTGTATCACTGAAAGCTCTAAAAGGTTCGCCACCATTGGTTTAAAGGACAAATCCTTTCAGTTCTATAGTGTCAAAGCTTTATACAGGAGCTTACCCCGATTTTCTTTCAACAATTACTTAATAAAAATTAAATTATCCTTGGGGGCGTCTGCAATTCTTATTTATCTTAAAAAGAGTTAATAGGATATGCTATAGAGAAATAATCCTATAATAGCTATAAAAGAAGATTTCCTCCAGCTATTTGTTAGAGCCTATGACATCGAAGTAAAATTCAATTAAAACAACTCCACAAAAGGCCAAAACAAAGTCACCCGTGTCCAGTGCTCTTGACCAGTATGACTCAGTCCTGGCTAGATAAACCTACATTAGGCTGCCAGCTATGAGTAGTGAAGAACAGAGGCAGGGAATAAAACAAAGTATCTACAAACCTTCAGTAACCCTGTGTATTTATGTGTAGTTTCTATTCATTTTACATTTGTTCTAGCTCTAGTTTTTGGACCCACCAAAGGAATACTTCTGTACTTTGATCGAATGAGTGAGTTACTGACATTCCCTTACCAGGTCCATTGGTCATGGCTGACCACGTGAGGTATAGGGTGTAGAGAGTGATGATAGAGGACAGCAGGAGGCCAGAACGAGGCTGGTGTTCCTATGGAGTCAAAAGGAAAACAATGCCATAGGAATCCCAAGGGTTGACTTTCTAAAAGCCAATGTAATTCCCTAGGATTCACTCATTTGTTAGTAACAGAGAATCTTATTTCGCTTGATAGCTGAAAAGATGACAACAACCTTGCAGTATGCGCTAGCCTGCAAAAACTGTAAGACAAAGCATCCAGTGCTGGTTCTCCAGGCATTTCATAATCCTGAAAATGCCTATGTATCACACAGGGGGGTTGATTTTCTAGTTCCTTGATATAATGGAAAGAGTCTAAACTCAGCCCTACCACCATCTATCTAGGTGACCCCTCCCTTCTTTGAGTTTTCTCATTTTTAAAAGGTGAGATGGTACCTAGATCTTATATCTAAAACTCTAGGAATTTTTCAAAGTCTTGTATTTATTTATCGATGTTGGTGATCAAACCCAGGGACTTATCCAATCTAGGCCTGCATTCCCCCACTAACTTAGTGCAGCTATATATAGTACTTATAAGATAAAACACAAAAGCAGGCATTGTGCTTTTAAATATTAAAATCAGCCGATTTTTTTTCTAGCTTAACCCCCCTAAAATATCTTGGCTAATTACTCGTAAGAACCATTCCCATGATTTGAACATTTCTATAAGAACTATGTATTTTCAAGTTACCTAGTTTTTTTAATGACAGTGAAATTAGTTATGATATAGGCACTCAAAAGCACATGTTTATTAAGTCACTAACTATGAAGAGTTTATCATAAAATGGAAAAATGTTTAAGTGGGTAAGAGTAAACATAAATTCATTAAAAGGCTACATAGGTTTAAACTCAGCATTATTTAAAAACCTTTTAGAGCGGAAGCAGGAGAAAATAACCATACCTGAACTTTTGGGAGGATTGATATAACAGAAACCACAATGCAAAGGATCAAATTGATACTGATGAAGAACTTGTTTTCTGTGCAGCGATCTGGTTTGGTGTAGTATGTGTAGAGCAGCCCAGCAGAGACGATTGACAAGATATAAAATAAGCTTGTAAAAGAAAGTAAAGCTGAAAAAGGGAAACCAGTATGAATGCCCACAATTCTAATGAATTTCTACAATTAAGACCAATTTTCTTTTATTCTATATCAAAATGCAGAGGCATTAATTCACTTTTAATTTACAAAATTAGAGGCATTAATCACTTTAATTCACAAAATTCCGTAAGACCCAAGTTTAAAATTTCAGGTTGTGGGCTGGTGTGATGGCGCACACGTGTAATCTCAGTACTTAGGAGGCTGAGGCAGGAGCATCACTGTGAGTTCAAGGCCAGCATAAGATACATAGTGAGTTCAAAGCCAGCCTGATGCACATAGTGAGACCCTGACTCAAAACAAAGCAAAACAAAACAAAACAAGACTAGACAAATTCTCAAGTTGTATTAAATTGGCTTAATGTTAAATTCTAAAACCCACCAAGCAAGTGAATTCACTTCCTGGGTTACTTCATGTGGTTTCATGAATTGAATGGGCAGATGTGTGACCATTCCAGCTGGAGTAAATTGCTAACTACATGCTAAGTAATGTGTACTGTAAACTTTTCTTAGCAACCTAGATGATTCCTGGCCCCTCCAGATGACACAGTTCACAGTAAGCTACACACCAAGGATGATGTTAGGAAGAAGCAAAACAGGCGTCTTTTTTTTCCCCTGGGTACTGGGAATCGGACTCAGGACCTCGCACTCGCCAGGAAGGCACTATGCACCTGAGCTGTTTAGATCCCCAGCCCCAAAACAGGCGTCTTTTAAAGGCAATTTTTCCTCTGCAGCCGCTGCCTACCTACACTTGTTTCCCATCACAAATAATGAGACTATGTGGCTCTTTTGCTATTTTCAAATATCCACCAAAACGTTCTTTTCCATTCACAAGGGTAAGCAACAGTTAGCTGTAAAACTCTAAAATTAGAAAACATGAAAAATACAGAACACTAAGTAAGCTGGTGTTCATTTCAAAGCACAGGCTTATCTGAGAAAAATTAGTTTCTATAGTGTTTATCTTAATGGATGTTTATTGCTTTTTCATCGGAATATACAAAATTTCTCTATCAAAAAAGAATTAGGGAAGCAGCTCAGTGTGAAGACCCCAGATTCAATCCTCAATACTAAACAAAACAAAAGAAGTAAAGGAGTTTATAGATTCCCAGCTCAAATGAATGACAAAAACTGAAATAGTACTTGGAACACTTTAAGTGATTAAGACTAGCATAAAGGTCAAGTATATTACAGTATAGACTGTGTTGTGGAACACCAAGGAATTACATGGAATGGAACCCCACACAGCTGTTAAATGAGCATCTATATGCATTGGCATGGACAAATATTCATCGTACAGAAAGTGCAAAGAACAAATCATAAAACAGTACATAGTATGATCCTGTTTACATTTAAATGAAACAATATGTGAGTGCATAAACATCCAAAGATTTGGTAACAGTGGCTACATTTAGAAAAGAAAATGGGTTGCAGGGAGGTAGAGAATTCCATGTTTTGTTCCTGAGAAATCTCTTTTCTTTTGCAGTGCTAGGGATCAAACCCAGGGCTATGAAGGGCCCTACCTGTTAATTATATCTCCAGCCCTATTCTTTACAAATTTCTACCGTACGCGTTTATGGTAAAAATAGTATTTTTTTTTAAAAAGCTAAGTCCAAAGCTGGGTATGGCGTATGCCTGTAATCCCAGCAGAGGCTGAGGCAGGAGGATCAACATTTCAAGGCCAGCCTGGATGACACAGCAAATCCCTATCTCAAATACACACGCATAAAACCAGGCTGGTCACAGTGGCACACCTCTACACTCCTAGAACTCTGGGAAGGTGAGACAAGGGGATTGCAAATTCAAGCCCAGCCTGGGCAACTTAATGACTTACTAAGAACCTGTCTCAAAATAAAATTAAAAAGGGCAGCAGGGAGCAGTTGCGGATATAACTTAGCAGCACAGCACCTGCCTGGCAAGATCAAGGTCGTGAGTTAGATTCCCCATACCAAAAAAAAAAACAAAAAACTGGGGAATTTGATACATGCACAAAAAGCATTTAAAACATTCATACCCTTTGCCCCTCTACTTACAGGAATTTGGCCTAAGGAAATAATAAAAAATGTGCTCATTCTAGGAACTTACTGCTGTACTATAAGCCAAAATATATTCACAAGCTATTTTTTAAGTTTAAAAACAGTCAAACGGGACTGGGTACAGTTCAGTGGTACACCACGTGCCTAGCATGTGAATCCCTGAGTTTAATCCCCAGTGCTGCAAAAACAAAACAGGCAACTACAAACCATTCAAATGCACCACATATGTTTAAAAACGAACCATATTACATATAACAATTTGGTTTATCCTTTTTTATACTCAAAAGACACACAGGTACATACAGAAAAAAGACAAGAAGAGACAAATATGTTACATTAAGCAGTAATTACTAAATATTAGGATTATGAGAGAATTTGGTTTTTAATACTCAGGGCCTTGCACATGGTAAGCATGCACTCTACCAGTGACCTATACCCTCACCCTGAAAATGTGTTTTGTTTTGTGATTTTCTGCTTTCCAAGCTCCTGACATACGATTATCTATTATTTATAATAGGGGAGGAAAGAAAGGGTGAGGAATCTCAACTTTTTAATTTACTTGTTTTTGTTTCTTGAGACAAGGTCCCATTATGTATACCAGGCCTCAGATTCAGTGAGCCTCCTGCTTCAGCCTCTCAAGTGCTTGAAATGTGTGATGCCCTCCCCCATGCCCAACTCCAACTGTTATATTTAAAATGAAGTACAGCGATGTCTTTACCCCTAATAAACAGAACTATACAGTCCCTTCCCATCATTAAATGAGCTGTGAGTACTATTCTAAACTTACAAATTATAAGTGCCCTTTCCCCACCAGAACACTTTCAAAGAGGTGTAAGACCACACTCTGAATAAAGCAGTAAAGTAAAGGGCTGTCACCCAGATCTCCCTGAAGTATGTGGGCAGGTATCCCACACGGAGAACCCACCTGAGTTCCCTGTCCATTGAAACAAGGTTGTCACAACCAGAATTGTACCACTAAACACAAGGTAGTTCCATTACAAACCTTAAAATATATTAGTTTGGAGAATTTAATGATTTAAAATATCTGTGCTACTCCCTCTCAGCAATACATGTAATTTACAACTGTCTCAATTGGAAAATTATAGCTTTTTAAAAGGCCACTCTACACTGAGTTTGCATCTTACTTTTTAATCACTGGCAATTTTACCGTACATCCTGCTTACTGTAGCACCATAGCTCCCATAACTAGTTTAGACACCTACCAGCATACCAGACTCTGGGGTTTCCTTCTTCCATATTGTTCACCCACGCTTCGTTCCAAGAGTGAGCCAAGTCTACCAAGAGTATCAGCTGCAAGAGGATGAAGCAAGCAGCCCCTGCCAGGCCAAAATGAAACCAGACTACAAACAAAGAAGAAAGTAATTCTTCACCACAGGAATAACACTGCAGAACATTAACTTTTAACATCTGAAGCAGATTTCCACTCAGTAGTGCAGTAAGACTACAACAATTCCAAACTCAAAGGCATTTTCTGAGAAGTGTTCTGTTGGATTCAGCTCTTTTAAAACTTGTTCTGGCTGGTCCAAGGGCAGCCTATAACCTGTCATTCCAGGTAACTCTGTAAGCCTTTTCCCTTACTTTTCAAGGGAAGGAGAGGGTCACAATGGAAATCTCAGCTGTCACTCAAAGCCACGTTAAGGAAGCAGGTTGAAACCAGGATAAGGGAACACACAGGAATTACAAGTCCTCATGCTGACAAGTCCTCTAACTGAATTTGTCAACTGAGATGATAAACTATTAAAATATTAGGAAAAGACTAACATGCAGTTCCAGAAAAGCTGAGAAATGAGATGAATGTATCCTATCCTTAAATCAATGTCCTGTATTAGTACCAAGTCATGTAACTGGATACCATCCCATTTAATAGTTTGCAAAATCACCAAAGGAAATGTAGATCTAAGTTAACCACCCGTAGAATTTGTACATCTTATAGTTAATCTCCCAGTAATGAGCCATACCTGAGGTGAAAGTGCCCTCAGGGATGTAGAAAGATCCAACCATGATACCCACAATGGCAGCAATTTTGAAGAACCAAAACCTATTAAAATATAAAAATGAATTTATGAAATGCTAATTTTCATCTTCACACTGAGACAAATGAATTTCTACATGCAAAAATAAAGCCTTAATAACAATTCCAGCAGGAAGAGAGAGGGATGTAAAAAGATCTAAGATGTGTTATGTGCATGTACCAACTACCCACAATGAATGTAAGCATCAGGCACTGTAATCTCATAAAGGTAACTCCAACCTAACTGTTTAGGCTTATTTCTTCATTTGATTTGAGAATACTTCATTAAATATTTCATGCAAAGGACAACATAAGCACAGAGGACAAGTCATTTACATTTCTAATGGAAAAAACAAGTAAATTTAAGAATCTCCCTACTTTCCATACTTGAAAGTAAGGATTTTTCTAAAATTACGAGGAGTTCTAACAGTATTAGCTACACAGAGAGCTATTAACTATTACGTTTGTGAGAAAAATTATCACTAAATCCTCTGCTTATACAGTATATAAATCTTTATCCACAATCACAAGTTCAATAGTAGCAAAGCAGAGCCTTTGAGTCCATAATCTTCAGTAACTGCCTTGTTTTAAAATGTTTTGTTTGCAGTACATAATGATTATTACAGGGAGTTGTTACATGCATGTAACATCTTTATTCTTTTTGTACTCCATCCCCTACCCTAGCCCTCCTTCCCTGCTCCTGCCGACTATCTGTCCCCTTCCCATTTGCAAAAACTGTTTTCATTATTTTTTCCATCTCCTTTCTCTCCCTTCCCTCCTCCTCCCTTCACCTTTTGTTCTCCCATCCAATTGGAAAAGATCTCCCTACTTGCTCCTTATCTTCTACTTTGCGTGCGTGCTCTCTCTCTCTCTCTCTCTCTCTCTCTATATATATATATATATATATATACATATATATATGTAGAGAAACTATGCAATATTTAAGTTTGTGTCTTATTTCACTCAACATTATGGTCTCATCAATTTTCCTACAAATGACTTAAATTTATCTTTCTTTATGACAGTGTAGTACTCCATTTTGTATAAATACACATTTTCTTTACCCATGTATCTGTAGACGGGCACATAGGCTGTTTCCCAAATTTAGCTATTATAAATTATGCTGCTATAATCATGAGTGTATCAGAAAAATACCCAGGAGAGGCATAGCTGGATCAAATATATATATATATATATATATATATATATATATATATATATCTGTAATATGATGTCTTTAACTCTTTCATGAGGATTCCTTGAAGGGGAATAGCTGGGTCAAATGAATTCTACTTTCAGTTTTTTTGAGGAGTTGCCACACTGATTCCTACAGTGTTTGTACTATTTCACATTCCCAACAATGGAGAGGCATTCTTTGTTCTCCTCCAAAGCCCCGTCACAATTTGTTATTTGATTTTTTTGGAGACAATCATTCTTTCTGGAGTTAAAATGGGATCTCAATGTAGTTTTAAAATTTGCACTTCTCTAATAGCCAGCAATGTTGGGCCTTTCTTCATGTACTTTTTGGCAATATTATTCTTCTGAGAAATGTCTATTCATTTTGGTTGACCATTTTTTGACTGGGTCTTTTATTTTGGCAGGTCTGGCAAAAATTTTTTCCCATTGTGTAGGTTGCCTCTTCACTCTATTGGTTGTTTCCTTTGTGTGCAGAAGCTTTTTAATTTGATGTGATCCCATTTGTTGATTCTCAGTATTATTTCTTGTGCCACCGGGGTTCTGTTCAGAAAGTCCTTGCCTATGCCTATGTCTTCAAGAGTTTTACCTGCTTCATCTTCCAGCAGATTGTTTCTGTTTCAACATTTAGATCCTCGATCCATTTTTATTTTAGTTTAGTGCACGATGAGACATATGGGTCTGACTCAATCTTCTGCATGTGGATATCCAATTTTCCCAGCACTATTTATTTAATAACTGCCTTTTATGACAAAATAAAATGTTATCAAGCTTTGGAGCTGGCAGACCTAGCTTCAAGCTCCAACCTCCCTGGCTGAGAGGTCTTAGGAAATGTTTTTTAACTCTTCTTTACTACATCTGTTAAGGGTGATTATAATACATACAAAGTTTACAAAACTCTCTTCGGTCTCCAAATGTAGTGCCTTGCATAGTGTCTGAAAGGTATTCAATAAAAATCTAGATACCGGAAGACAACTCCCTATCCTCTATATCAGTGATGGCGAACCTTTTAGACCTTCCAATGATACAAAGAGCCTGCTATGGAACCCTATAGGTTCATGGTTCACTTTGCCCTTATCTCCCTACTGTTGACACTGGGGCTGTCCTTATCTCAGAGCCAAGTCCTTATACCTTACTTTCTTAACTGAGTCAATTATAGGTTTATCAGTACCCTATATGTTACAGGGCTCCAACTGAAAATGACACTGAGCCAGGTGTGATGGTGCATGTCTGTAATCCCAGCACTCAAGGGGCTGAGGAGGCCAGCCTGGGCTACCCAGGCTAAACTACATAGCAAGACACTTTCTCAAAAAAAAAAAGAGAAAGAAAATGACACTAGCTGAGCATGGTGGTGCATGCCTGTAATCCCAGCACTCAGGAGGATGAGGCAGGAAGATTGCCGTGACTTTGAGGCCAGCCTAGGCTACACAGTGAGTTCAAGAGCAGCCTAGATTACACAGCAAGACCCTGTCCCAAAAAAAAAAAAAAAAGACATGCAGCAATTTAATATGGGTAGAAAAGAGACGAGGAAATCATAACAATTGTACTTTGTAAGAAGACTGCAACTTTCAACTTTTAAGACACAGCCAAAGGTCAGAAAATTGACTCAGTTAAGAAAGTAAGGTATAAGGACTTGGCTCTGAGATAAGGACAGCCCCAGTGTCAACAGTAGGGAGATAAGGGCAAAGTGAACCATGAACCTTTGCAGGTGTGGATGGGCTTGGGTTCTGCTTTCTAAGGTTTGGGTAGTATTTCCTAATCTTGTAGGAGGCTCTCAAGAGAAATCTAAACAATCAGTTTGTGTACGTATTGAAGGCAAGCACGATCCTGACAAGAGGAGTTACAGTCAGCCAGGAAAAGGCCAAGCCAAAGACAGAGTCTGAAAGACTCGGTGAAGGACAAGTCAACAACCAAGGCTAGGCACCTGGAGGCTCAACAAAGGCCTTGTTGGACTGGCGGGATTTTCTTGCCCAGGAACAAGGTATCCATAGCCCTCTTTGTTGTGTTTATATTGATAATTTTAGCAAGGCATTAATTTTTTGAGTATAAAAGCCCTAAACTAGAAGACCCTTTGTCAATCCATTTAGGCCCCTTCCCAGGTTAAACAACCAGCGGGCTGTTTGTGTTCACTTTAAAATAAAAAGTGCTTTCTGCTTTCACTCTATAATGTTTATTTCGCTCAGTGTGTGCTGTACTATCTTTGCTAGCAAACACTACTTGTGTCTCTTTCTGGCACACGCTAAAAATTATTTTTCTGCCATGGGAGTCATCCAGCCTGCTACAGCAGGGTGGGTTAACTTTGGGAAACTTGGAGATCCAGCCCAGTGACAATTACACATGTCTAATAGACCAGATTTGTATCTGGGCCACTGATACACATATTTCACTGCTTCTAGGTGAATGGCAACATTAACTGCTGAGGGGAAGGGGACATAATTAAGATGTATTATGTACATGTACCAACTCCCCATGATGAATGTAATCATTATAAGCATAATGTACTACAAACATGTACTAATAAAAATAAATATTTTAAAAAATTAATTGCTGAAGGAGAAGAGGAGCCATACTATAGTTATAAAACAATATATAAAACAATAAACAATCCTACATACCCATTGTGTATTGCTGCTCTGGGATCTTTACTTGTTTTTACATTAAACATGAGTACACAGAAAGCAAAGAAAAACATGGCCAATGCAAAGTTGATCCGATACACAGCTTTAAAACCAACCATCACAGCACAATCTTTATCTGCCTTTAAATCAGCCACCTCGATTTTAAATCCCCCTTCACAGAATCCAGGAATCTAGAAAGAAAAACAATTTCAATGCCATAGGAATATGCACATTAATCAGAGATTCAATCTCACTATAGGAAGACTTGGGTTTAGAAAACTGACCACTTCAACTGCAAGCACTTTTCTCTTTGACTTCTAATTGACCAACAGTCTTGTTATCAAACAGTATAAACAGCTTGTGTGAAAAAATTAAGTGCCCTCCTTTAGCTTTCATGCTAATGAACTTATCTTAAACTCCCCATGGACTTTCCAGTTACAGCAGACCTCTTTCTTTCCAAAGGTGAAGGACTAGTCTAGCTCAAGGCTTTAACCTACAAGGAAAGAAAATGTCTTGGGATCACTCCCCACCTGACCCCCTAACACTACAGAATGAACCAAGACAGCACAAAGCTACATCCCAAGGGCTTTACCAATTTTATCTTGAGACAAAGTCTTGCCAAATTGCCCAGGCTTACCTTGAATTTGCGGTCCTCTTGCCTCAGCCTCCTGAGTAGCTGTGACTACAGGCTTGTACCATGGAATCCAGCTGTGGGATTCCTTTTAAATTCCTTCTTTTCTTCCTGGGCATGGTGGCACACATCTGTAATCCCAGCATTAGGGAGGCTGAGGCAGGAGGATCCTGAGTTCAAAGTCACCTTGGGCTACACAGCATGTTCAGGGCTGATCCGAACCACAGAAAAAGATGTTTGCTCTGGGCTGTTAGAAACAATTACAAACCAAATATTGCAAAACCTAATAAAAATAACCAGTATATCGAGGGCACTGTTACATCTACTTACTTTCTTCAGCTCAGTTTCCATACTTTCTGTTCGCATAATAATGGACACAAACGTGCCCAGGAGGACAATGACAGCATAGATGACTCGAGTCACAGTGGAGTTCTTTTTGGGACAGCAACCACACACCAAGCACGATGCGCTGCCACAGAGGCATGGAACCTGTAATGAGAATACCATGGGCTACTTGAGATCACCTTTGTTACAAAGACACTGGCAAGCAGAAGATGAGGCAAACCAGGCACTGACAATTTCAACGGAAAGAATTATGTAGTTAAGGGACTGGCTTGGAGTTAATATTATTTCTGCCATTTTATTTTAGCAGGTTATATAATCTAATCCAATTTTCCCATCTAGGTGTCTGTCTATTTGTCTATCTATCTATCTATCTATCTATCTCATCTATCTTTCTATCTGAGACAGTCACACTATGTAGTTCAGGCTGACCTTAAACTCACTCTGTAGCACAAACTGGCCTCAAATTCAGTGATCTCCTATCTCAGCTTCCAGAATGCTGGGATTACAGGTATGTGCCACCATATCTGGCTAACCCAATATTTGCATCTGTAAAATGGACTCAATAACAGAATTTTCCTCCCTCAGACTTGCTGCCCTTACTGTTTCCTAAGCCTTGTTACCAGAGCTGGTGTTATAGCACAAAGCAATATTACATGGAAACTTTCTTATCAATTATGATAGTAAGAGTCATATAGCTCCGTTTATGAGTAACGTGGAAGTTTCTCAAAAAAATTAAACATAGAATTACCATACAATCCAGCTATTCCACTCCTAAGTACATATACTAAAAAAGAAATGAAGCAAATATTCAATGAGTTTATATATGAATACTCAGTATCATTTACAATCACCAAAAGTAGAAGCAACCCAAATACCTATTACTGATAAGATGGTGTAAGTAAGATGTGACATTCTCATACAATGGATTATTCAGGCATATAAAGGAGTGAAGTGTGATACATGGTACAACACAGATATACCTCAAAAACATCATTCTAAGTGAAAGCCAGAAACAGAAGATCATATATTGTACTATTCCATTTATATGGAATATCCAAAACAGGTAAACTCAGAACACAAAGATGACCAGGGCTTAGGGAGAGGAGTATGCTTAGTGGGAATGAAGGTTTCTCTCTAGGGCAGTGGTGGCAAACCTGTGGCATGCATGCAGCCGCTGGCTATTTCTTACCACTGAAAGCCCTAAAAGGTCAGCCATCACTGCTCTAGGGGTGATGAAAATGTTCTGGAATTAGACCACAATACTGAATTACTAAATGCCAGTAGATTACACACTTTATTTATTTTGTTTGTTTTTTTATTTGTTTTTTGAGACAGAGTTTTACTATATAGTCCAGGCTGGCCTTGAACTCATAGTGATCCTCCTGCCTCAGCCTCCTGAGTGCTGGGATTACAGGTGTCCAACATTACACCTGGCTAGATTATACACTATGAAATGATTAATACTACACTATGTGAATTTTACTTTCAATTTTGAGAATGAAAGAAAAGTAATGTGGTTAGCTAAAATCTGCTAACAAACATTCCAAAAGAGTGGATGTAATCTGAGTCATTCATATATACTTGCTTGATTAGTATACTGCTTGGCTTACTTTGACAGGTGAGGTTATCAAGTCACATTACCAGGATAAGCTAATTCAGAATTAGGAGTATAAAGGCCTCACAAGGGACATGCATGGCCTCACAAAGAACATAAAAAGAAAAATTATTGATTACTCTTTTTCTTTCCACCTGCTTCGTTCCACATTCTAGCCACTCCCCGAAACTCCCTGAAACATACCGTTCCTTTCTTCTAAGTTTCCTATAGTTTCTATAGCTTTTGGGAAGACTGCTTCACAAAGACCTCGCTTGCCAAGCAGGATGTGGTTTATGTGGTTTTTTGGCTTAAAAACTGCTCTCTCCCCTGGTTTGCTACTGATCTGACCCTACCCTGCGTGGAGGCTCTCAGTCAGTCGCTGGCCAGCTAATAAAGGCTCATTCTTAAATCTCAACTGGCGATCCGTGTGTTTCGGTGTTTGTCGGTCAGTACCTTGGTTCGGTTCTGAGTCCAAAACAGTAGAAGCAGATGTAAACAATGCAGGACTCAAGTCTTACAGAATCCAAAAATAATCTTTTACCTTTTACAGATGGTACCTTGTCCACGCAATAGTTTTTACTTTACCAGAGTCGTATGGTTTGGAGCAATCTGCTAACCTTCTTAAGAACCTCATTATCTTATCTGCAAAAATGGGCATAATACCACCTACCTGAACAGGGTTACTGTGTGAAGAATGAGATGTCAGAATATAAAGCACATACCATAACACTTCATATAAAAAGACTCAGTATACCACGGTAGCTATTTTTATGTGTAATTACAAGCAAGGAAAATACACCGGGCAGCCTGAGGCCAACAGACCAAAATGGAAGTCTACACCTGAAAATACAAAATCAGGCATTTTGTAGCCAAAAAACAATGGCACTGATTACTCCAGGTTTATTTTGTCAACACTCAAACACTCCTATGGCCCTTTAGTTAGGTTTTGCCTAACCAATTCAAAAAAGTGCATAGTAATTGCCTAGTGTCTGTTATGGGTTGCACTGTATTTCCTCAAAGTTCTTTTCTTTTTTGGATTTTTGAAAAAGTCTTGCTATGTTGCTTAGGCTGGCCTTTAACTCACTATGCAGCCCAAATGGCAATCCTCCTGCCTCAGCCTCCCAAGTGTTAGGATTCTAGGGATATACTGCTGTTGGAGACCACTACAAAGTGGCTCTGAGCTGGATTTAATATTAAATTGGCTTTGCCTGTTTACTTGTGAGTTGTCTGAAGCTTAGGCACCTTATCTCAAGATAGGCAGTGGACTCATAGTAAGTTAACCTCTGTGAGCCCCTGGTCATCCTGAGGCCTATATTGGCCTATGAAGCTGTGACTCCTCAAAGGACAAGAGAAGGCCACAGCCGAGGACATTTGGCTCCAATCCCAATTAACTACAAGGAGACTGCAGCTGCAGGCTCCACACTCCTACAATAAATACCAACCTAAAGATAAGGTAGTTCTCCTGATTGACATAATTTACTACTTCGGAAAATTCTCCCAAGGTCCTGCAAGATTCCTGCATTTTCTTGAGTATCCGCCTCCTTTGTTTGAAAACCAAATAAATACAGGCTGCCCAGAGAAGTCTTTGTCTAAACTCAGAGAACATTGAAGCTATAAGATAGTTAGTCCCCTGAAATCATTTCAATTGTCTCATTTATTTAAGCCTTCACTGTCCACTCGCTTGGGGCCTAATCAGCCTGCAATAACTAAGGGTTATGGAACCTGATATGCTGCCTCATTGGACTCCCCTTCAAAATTCATATACTGAATTCCTAATCTCCAGTATGTCAGACTGCCCTTATGTGCAAAGAGAGTCACTGCAGATATAATTACCGTAGCTAAGACGGGGTTATACTGTGGTAAGGTGTACATAAAATCCAATAGGACTACAGTCATAAAAAGTAGAAATCTGGACCTAGATTTGCAATTTAGGGAGAGGCCATGTGAAGATAAAGATTTACAAGCTAAGGAATGTCAAACATAGGGGAGGCTTGGGACAGATTCTCCCTCACCAATCATAGAAGGAACTAACCTTGTGGGTCCCAAACTCAGACTTGCAGATTCCAGAACTGAGGGACAATAAATTTATAAAAGCCCTTCCCGGTCCTTGTTATTTGTATCTGTAATCTGATGGAAAAGTTATTGGAATTCTGGCAAGTTAATTCCAATTACCACTTCCAGTGTAACCCATAGTGGGAAGAGTGACCCTAAGGCATATTTGTAGCTCTGGGGAGACAAAAGGGTCCTAAGTCCTGCTAGGATGATGGCTAACCAGAACAAAGGCCTTGACCAGACCTGAACCCAGGTTTTATTAATTCGTGAAGAAGGGCGTGGCTTAAAGATGAGTAACTGTGAAAATGGCAGGAAGTACGTGAGTGCTATGAGCTGGACTAGGTAGGTGGTCTGAAATCACCTTTGCAATATGCAGAGAGAGCATATGCAGAAGGAGTAATCTGCATAACAAAATTCGAGGTAGTATCTAATGTTTGCGGTTGGGTGCTTGTTTCAAAGACTAAAAGGAAAAGTCCTAGCCAGCTCTGTACATATCAATACATGGAAATAGGACCAGGTTTAGCCAAAATGGAGATAACTGTTCTTTCAAGGAGAGTTTTCCAAACGGTCCTCCACAGTTATTTAAATTACCCAATCTATGGTGCTTTGCTATATAATCCTCGCAAACTAGTACACCTACTTATATTAGGCTACTGTCATGGGAATGGAAATATTTTGAAAGAAGGACCACCTTTAGCATTTTATCTCTTGAACCTTGACATAACAGGAAATCAAATATCCATACAACAAACCTATCCTACTGTATTTTCCATCATTTCCCTATCTCACTAAAGGACAACATTATGTTTTGCTGCTTGGGCCAAAAACCTGGGGGTCATCCTGATTACCTTCCCTTTTTCAAAATTCTCTGCTGGACGTAGTAGCACACGCCTATAATCCCAGCACTCGGGAGGCTGAGCCAGGAGGATGGTTGTGAGTTCGAGGCCAGCCTGGGCTACAAAGTGAGCTCAAGGCCAGCCTGAACTGCATAGGGAGACCCTGTCTCAAAAAGAAAAAACAAAAACAAAATTCTCATGCAATGCGCCTGCACATCACCACTACCCTCAAACTATATCCGGGATCTAACTGATGGGGAGATAGGCTGTGGCAAAGCTGGCTGGGGAAATGTGTGGGATCTGTCAATTACAAGATCCCAGGGTAACACCCGGACCCCCTGTGTAGAACTTCCTTAGAGCTCCCACAAGATGTGAACTGCATAAAAGACAACCGGATGCCATGGGGAGCTGATAGCCTGAGTTCCCACAACAGCCCACACTGCATTTCTCAGATGTAGTGTGTACTTTTATTTTTGCTTTTACTTTCTTTTTCTCTTGTTGGGCCCAAGTTTGCTCTGCGGAGCTGGTTTCTCCCATACCCATTTACCCTGTAGTTTTGTTTTTCCAGAGTCTAATTTGTCTTTAATCTGTTTTTTCTTTCCCAATCAGATTTTATTGGTACGTGTTAGATATACATAATGATCACATTCGTCATAGAGAAT